GCGCCCTGCTGTCCTGCTGCCCTGCGCGCACTGCAGCCCTGCGCGCCCCGCGCGCCCTGCTGCCATGCAGCCCTGTGCGCCCTGCTGCCCTGCAGCCCTGTGCGCACTGCTGCCCTGTTTGCCCCGCGCGCCCTGCTGCCCTGCAGCCCTGTGCGCCCTGCTGCCCTGCTGCCCTGTGCGCCCCGCGCGCCCTGCAGCCCTGTGCGCCCCGCGCGCCCTGCTGCCCTGCCGCCCTGTGCGCCCCGTGCGCCCTGCTGCCCTCTGCACGCGCCATGCACAGGCCCCCCCCGTCCCCCGCCCCCCCCCTTCTCCTCCATCCCCTGCTGCAGGTGCAGCAGTGGGGGGAGGGTATGGGGGTGGCGGGTGTGTGAACCGTCCCCTGCTCCTCCTCCTCCTCCGTCTCCCACTGCTGCAGCTGCCGCTGAGGGGGGGTGGGTGTGTGGGAGCCGAGGGAGTGGTGCTAGGGGGGGGACGTGGGAGTGGAGCTAGGGGTGCAGCAAGGGGTGTGTGTAAGGGGGGTGGGACAGTTGGGGGAGGTTGAGCGGAGGCTGCCGTCTTGTAGTCCGCAGCACCTGTAGTCCGGGGCTCTGCTTCTGGTAGCTCAGAGAGCCTGCTGCGCCTATCGCCTGTGGGTCCGTTGCTCCTGCCGCTCAGAGTTAGCCGCAGAGCCAGTTACTCCTCTAGTCCGGGGATACGGCCCCGGTAGCCACAGTGCGCGCCGCTCCTGTTGCCCGTGTGTCTGCAGCATCAGCCGTCGCCTCCTATCTCCTCTCCTCTCACAGTCCAGCCTCCTCCTTCTCACTTGCCCTTTGTGAATGCCTCTAGCTTTGCTTGTACTTGTGAACCTGCTCTATGACTGCTTGCTCTGCTGATTATACCCCACTTTGACTATGGGGGTGTGTCAGAATGTATTTGCTGTTTAGCCTGCAGTGGGGTACTCTGTAGTGAGTACAACCCAATTTAGGGTTTGCTATTTGTATCCCAACTTTCTATAGTGAAACCACTCATTCTTCCTTCTCGACTTTCCTCACCCAAAATTCTCTCGGCACCAATGCCCTGAACCCAAGCCATGGTTTCTAAGTCATGCTAGTATTCTAACAAGAAGTACAAGGCTTTTATATGATTACAAAGGAATATGGAAAGTTCTATCTTAACTGTTTTTGCTGTTGCGGTTCGATACAGTGCCGACTCGGGTAACTGCTCTGTAACGAGTCAGTTATGTGTCCTTGCTGTCGCACTGTACGTTTCGTCAGGTCAAAGGTTGGAGACCTTTGACCTTCGCGCAACCTCCGACGGTTGACTCGGGTGCTTCTTCGCTGTAGTCAGTTCCGTTTCGTGTCGAAGCTTCGATATGACAGAAGCGCTATAAATCACTTGTTTCCAACACACTCAACCTCTTGCTGTTGTCTTTCTGTCAATCGCTTTGGTTGACTCGCTGTTGCTTCACTTCAGTTCGCTTCGCTTTTGTTGTAGTGCTCGACACATCAGAAGCGTGAACTAAATGTTTCCAACACTCCCCTTCGCTTCTGGAGTGTCGTCGCCTTCGTTGCTGATGACGTGTATTTGTCCAGTCAGCAGCATGCAGTACTCGAACTTCTGCTTTCCGAGTTTCTTGGTCAAGTAATTTGCTGCCATCTCGGACGTGGGGCAGTAGGATAGCTCGAGTTTCCCTTTCTCGATCTCGTCCTTCACGAAGAAATAGCGCAGGACAATGTGCTTTGTTCGGTTCGCGAACCCGCTCTTGTTCACTATGCGAATTGCAGATTGGTTGTCGCAGAAGAGGGGGAAGCTGGGTAACTGGGCCAACTTCGCTTCTACCCGTAGTTCGCGAAGGTACAGTCCTTCCTTGGTGGTTGAGCAGAGTGCTATGTATTCAGCTTCAGCAGAGGAGAGAGCAATTATTTCTTGCTTGCTCGACTACCACGAGATAGGACCGACGGGCTCGAGTCGATAGATATAGCCGGTGCGCGATCGCCTGTTATAAGAATCGCCTGCATGGTCAGCATCCACGTAGCCGATTAGCTTTGGAGTAGTGGTTCCGGTCTTGTGGTAGGTTAGGCCGATAGTTGGCGTGCTGACGAGGTAGTGTAAGGCGCGGTCGAGTTCGGCCATATGCTCTGCTTTGGGCCGCTTGAGGCGGGTAGCAAGCTGACTCGCTGAGTATGACAGATCCGGTCGGCAGGTGATGGCTGCGAATAGCAGACAGCCCAGTTTTCGTTGGTAGTCGCGTAGGCTGGCAGGTCCAAGCAGGTTGGATTTTTCCTAGTGATTTCCCGCGATGTAGCGATAGGGCGTGGAAATGGAGGCTGGCGTCAGTCCGAAGCGCGTATTTTGCGATGAGCTGGCTGACCCTGAGTAAGTTGTAGCCCAGTCCTTCTGCAATCAAAACCTTGGACATCTGTAAAATGACGTTAGTCTCGCAGGACTGAAGTTGAACTACTCCTTGTCGTCGTGTGCGCAGGTTCTGGTTGTTGGCGACGGTGATCACGACTTCCCGGTTGATGTGTTGTACCCGTTGACGAAGCGATTTGACGAGCGCATGTGTTGTCCGCAGGAGTTGTTCAAGAACCAAGTATCTTGACCAGACGGTTCGCTCTGTGCGATGGCTGCATATGTCGGATTTGGTTCTAGCGATTCGCGACCAGGCGTGCTTTCGTCGAGCAGTTCTTCTGGTGAGTAGGTCGGTGGTGAACCAGTGATGCAGGGGTCAGTTCTTGTCATGCAGCTTATGATGTTTCTTGTTCCTCGTGCAGATTGTGACGTTGTCGTTGAAGGCGCCGCCTGGTTGGAAGGTTGCTGCTGTGTGGAAGTCACTTGATTACTTGTCGGTCGAAGCTGACGTGGTGGTGGTGTCGATTGCTGCTGATTCGAGCAGTGAATACGAGAGTGGCCGGACGTTCGGCAGATGTGACAAAATGGCGGTACTTGTCTTCGTTCGTGATGCTCGTTTTGTCAGTTGTCGATGCCCTTTTCTTGTGACGTTCTTCGTGCAGGTCCATATCTTGTGGCTCGGCGTGAATTTCGGTGCAGAGATTTGCTTCGGAGATTCTTCCGTGGGATTGGAGAATGGCTCGGATATTGATCCGCCGCATCGAAGGAGTCGATCGCGCAGACTGCGACAGCGACTGATATATGCCATTCCCTTTTCGCCGGGTTGCATTTGGACCGTTGTCAATTGCGCCATGAGACGATTTTGATTAACACTGTCGGTTGCTTGATACAGGTTCTTTAGGTGGCTGTACGCGAGCTCGGCGGAGTTACCGTATCCGCGATAAGACCGGATGTTATGCTGCTCGTTTGGCGTTATGTTTCGCAGGAGTATGGTGTACGCCATTAGTGACTGGTACGTGTAATGTTGTTTGTCGTACTGCGTCCCGTGCGTTGGATATGGCAGGGAACCATCGAAGAAGCCAAGGATTTGAGTGCCTTCCATCGTTAGCTCGAACTCAAAGGACCAGGTATAGAAATCATTGCCGTCGAATGGTGTTGTTGTTTGGAGTTTCAGGACGTGTGCAAACTGTGACTGCAGTTGACGTGCGTCCAGATTCTTTGTTTCTTGTCCAGGTGGAAGCCGATTCGGCATGAAGCTGACGGAGCCTCGTTGAGGCTCGTACGGTGCGAAGGTAGGCTGCTGATTTCCACGCGCAAAAGATAAACTGTAAAGGCTCATGGGAGTGACTCCGTTGTTGTTGTCGCTGTTGTTTGACTGCGCAGGTGCCGCTTGTTGATGTTGCTCATAGAACGGCATGAAGGAGAAAAACTTCTCCATCATGCTTGGGTCGAAGCCGGTTTCTTGATTAGCAGGGATTTCAGTGGACTCAGCAGCTGGTCCTTGAGTTGTGCCTCTCTTTGTCTGTAGTCCAGACGCTGGAGGTGGAGTAGGATTGTTGCCGGGAGATTCAGTAGACGAGCTTCTTTCTTTCTGCGTAGCTATGCCTTCTGTTGTTGTAGGAGTTTGAACAGAGTTGGGCTGCTCTGATACCATGTTGGGCTGCTCTGTAGTCGTTTTCAAGACTAAAGTCTCAGAGTAGTGATGTATTAGCGGAAGCGTATTAGTAAACTGATTAAACCGCCTTGCATTGGTATGTGAGAACAAGATAAGTTGATAATAGCAAAGGCATACAATGACTTATATGATTACGAAGGAATATGAAATGTTTCACTAACTGTAACTGCTGTTGCGGTTCGATACAGCGACGACTCGGGTAACTGCTCAATAGTGAGTCAGTTATGTGTCCTTGCTGTCGCGTTGCTTTTCGGCGAGTCAAAGGTCGCTGACATTTGACCTTCACTCAACCTCTTGTTGTTGTCTTTCTGTCAACCGCTTTAGTTGACTCGCTGTTGCTTCACTTCAGTTCGCTTCACTTTTGTTGTAGTGCTCGACACATCAGAAGTGCAAACTATATGTTTCCAACATGGAAGAGGGACCAGGAGCAAGGGTAACTAACCACAGTATCACCATTTTACTAGCAGCATCACTAACAGGCTCGCTAGCCGAATTATTGCTATCATGCAATATTAGAATAGTGACGATTTCTCGGTAATTTTAGTGCCCCAAGAATGGAGTGGTGGAGTGACAACCAGAAGGACAAAGATTAGAAAAGATGGCCATGGTATAAGAAACCATGACATGTTAGGGCTGTAGAAGTAGACTTTTATGATGGCCATGCATGTGCTGTAAGTCCTTATGCATGGCATGAGTAGCCATGTGCCTGTTTGTTCTATGCATGTATTTCATGAGAGAAAGCACCCACCCATACATTCAGTGACTTGTGCACTCTAACTGGGATGAACATGTGTGAAGACCGAGGGAAAGGGCAAATCATTATTCTGACATTGACCCATGCCACATTGACCCATGCCACATTGACCCATGCCACATTGACCCATGCCACATTGACCCATGCCTCATTGACCCATGCCTCATTGACCCATGCCACGTTGACCCATGCCTCATTGACCCATGCCTCATTGACCCATGCCACATTGACCCGTGCTTCTCATCCCCTTCCCAGTCTCCTCATCACCCCCTCTACCTCCTCCCACCTCATCCCGTCCGCCCCACTCCTTACACCCATCTGCATCACCCCTAAACCAGCCCACACGACATCCAGCCTCCTCACCGCCTCCTCCCCCACCACCACAGCAAACACACTGTCAAAGCCCCCCGCGCCCGGCACACCTGCCATCACCACCCCCGGCTGCTGCATGGTAGCGTCAAGGAGAGCGGTCTGCTGGGGGGGTTCGATGGGCGTGGCGGCTGCAGAGCCCATGGCAGAGAGCAGGTGGCGCACTGAGAGGAAGGAGGACCGCAGGGTGAGGAGCGCGTGTAGGATGGTACTCCAGATGTCACCTCCTTGCTGCTCTTGTTTCTTTTGCGATTCTTGAGGTTCCTGTGGTTGCTGTGGTGCGTGTGGTTCGACGGTGCTGCTTGCATGGCTGATGTCGCTGCTACCATGCACCGATGTGCCTGCTTGCAACTGTTGAGTAGACTCCGGAGGTACCTCAACCTGAGCGTGGGGATCCCCCGCTGCCTCATTGGGGGCACACAACCGGTTCACCTGGGTTGCGGCAGCAGAGGGCGCCACTGGGGTTGCTGCAGTGAGAGGCACGTGCTGCAGGTGGTTCAGAGTGGTGGAGAAGGCGACTGGATGGGTGCGAGCGAGCAGGGACAGTTGAGAGAGAGCAGCAGAAACTGCCGCATTGGCCTCTTTTAGGCCTTCCCAGATGGGCTCTGCTTCCTCTGGTGACTGCTTCCGCCACCTGTGGGGAGGGGGAGGAAACGGGGAAGAGTTTTTTTTTAGGCGCCTCGAAAAACGAGAGCAGCAGCAGCCGCATTGGCCTCTTCTAGACCTTCCCAGATGGGCTCTGCTTCATCTGGTGATTGCCGCCGCCACCTGTGGGGAGTGGGGGGAAACGGGGAAGAGGAGAAGAAGGATATGATTGCACATGGTGCGTGCACGGTGAGGGACTGCTGGAGCAAGGACCTGCCGAGTGGTATGGCCCATGCCATGATGTCATGATGTCATGATGTCATGATGTCATGCTGGCATGATGGCATGATGGCATGATGTCATGCTGGCATGATGGCATGATGTCATGCTGGCATGATGGCATGATGGCATGATGTCATGCTGGCATGATGGCATGATGTCATGATGGCATGATGTCATGCTGGTAAGTTGGCATGATGTTAGTGTGGGTTGATGGAATGATGGGTGTTAACCTGAATAAAGTGATGCCTGAATACGCCCATAGCAGTGCGATACCCACTAAGCGTGATCAAATTATGTTCCAGAATGGCCATGCTCGCACTCACTTCATGACAGCAGAAAGCATGGAGGGTGTGGCTGTGCCCCCTGTGCCTGGCTCGCCCAGTACCTACCACGCAGAATCACCGAGTGAAGAAGACAGAAGATATGAGTGGGATAGTGAGAGGGGAATAAAGTGATGCTCATGTAGCAAGAACGGGAGGGTGGGAGAATGGGCTAGTAGAATGAGAGAGTGTTAGAATGGGGAAAAGGGAGAGTGGGGGGGATGCATACCAGGAGAAGGCCTGGTGGGAGGTGCAGGGGAGAGATCGTGTGATCCCAGAGAGGAGAGCGCAGCGTGGCTGATATGCTGCTCACTGTCATCGCTGCCTCTGCTCCCTGCCACAACCCCAAGGTTCACGGGACAGGAGAAAAGATGGGTCAGGGAATGCCACACATGTGCATACGCTCTGTAGCTTCTCCCTCCCTCCATCCCTCCTGACATGGCAACACCCACCCATCGTGCAAGCACCCACCATGAGGGCATGCATGACGGCGGGGTTGAAGCGCTGGTAGCACATGGACCCAAACACGCCAGATGCCACATCAAACCCGCTGCCTGCCTTGCCCTGCGCCAGGCAGTGCGCCACCTGCGCCACCCTATGCACCACCTCCTCCCTCCCCACCGTCCCCGCACTCCCCACCGCCTCCTCTTGAGAGCTTTCCTGCGCTCTACTCCCCATCGCCCGCTCCTGACAACCCTCATCAGCAGCGCCACTCCCTGAGTCCCCCAGCACACCTAGGAAGCGCAGCAGAGCAGCGGAGACAGCAGCAGTCATGGCAGCAGACGACCCCAGCCCTGTCTTCGCCACCTCTGGCACGTGCCCTCTCGTCGCCTCTGCTGCTGCTGCTGATGTTGATGATGCTGATGCTGATGCGTCTGGGCCTGCTGATGTGCCTGCAGCAGTTGCTGAAGTGTTTGGGGATGCTGATGCGTCTGTGGCTGCTGATGGAGGGTTGCTGACGATGGGGGCGAAGGGGGAGATGCGGGCCAGGGAGGACGCGGAGAGCGGCAGGCCCATCCGTTGCAACTGCACACACACAGAGGAGTGTGCATGGAGGAATGTGCATGGGGAATGGGGGAATGTGCATGGGGCATGGGGGAATGTGTATGGGGGAATGTGCATGGGGAAGTGTGCAGAATGTGCATGAAGGAACGTGCATGGGCCATGGGGGATGTGTATGGGGGAATGTACATGGGGGAATGTGCATGGGTGAATGTGCATGGGGGAATGTGCATGGGGGAATGTGCATGGGGGAAACGTGCATGGGGGAATGTGCATGGGGGAATGTGCATGGGGGAATGTGCATGGGGGAAACGTGCATGGGGGAATGTGCATGGGGGAATGTGCATGGGGGAAACGTGCATGGGGGAATGTGCATGGGGGAATGTGCATGGGGGAATGTGCATGGGGGAATGTGCATGGGGGAATGTGCATGGGGGAAACGTGCATGGGGGAATGTGCATGGGGGAATGTGCATGGGGGAATGTGCATGGGGGAATATGCATGGGGGAAACGTGCATGGGGGAATGTGCATGGGGGAATGTGCATGGGGAAATGTGCATGGGGGAAACGTGCATGGGGGAATGTGCATGGGGGAATGTGCATGGGGGAATGTGCATGGGGGAATGTGCATGGGGGAATGTGCATGGAGGGGCGGCGTACAGTGTGTCGGTGCGAGTAAAAGTCATTGTCTCCTGCAATGGTGATGCGCACTCCTGTACTCGCCAGCCGCTCCCTCAGCTGCCGCTTGTCCGTTGCTCCGCCCCTCACTCCTCCGCTTGCCTCCCCCAAGGCAGCTCCCACTGCCACCTGAACCACCCTTTCCACGTACGGGTTGCCTGAAACCCTCTGCGCGCTGCCTTCCTCCGCTTGACCTTTCTGTTCCGTACATGCATTCGAACATGCGTCACCTTCCCTGCACGGACATCAAAGGCGGCACGGACCTTGAATTTGCAGACATAAAGGAGGAACGTAGCGCCAAGCACAACGTGCTAGCAGTGCCAAGTGACAACTGAAGGTATGTGCTGGTACTGAACGATATTCACCTGCGATTGCTGACTGAGAGATCCGCGAGGGACAGGTCGAAGCAGTAGCAGCTGCCTCGTTGAGGCGAATCCACGCATACGGTCATCAGGCTCTTTCTACCCGCATCTGCTGCTTCGGCTGCTGCTGTTTCCGTAACCTGCTTCTCCCTCTCGGAGATTAGCGGCTGCGCAATGGCGTAGAAGCGCGCGTTCGTGGCGAGTACGAAGCCTTGATTAGGAGGCTCTACAACGAGGTACGCTCCCACTAGGAGCACCTTTCCTGGAGCCGAGGCGGCTACAGCTAAATCCAACGCCATTGCACTCCCACTGCCTGAATCAATGGCCTGCTCAGTCAATGCGAGGAGGAATTTCCGTACGGTAACTCAGAGTGTCTCCACAGCATCGCCTAGAGACATCTCCTGACTTGTCATGGGGAAGTCGGCAGCTTGTCGGTGGAAAAAGGATGACGACAGAACGGAATGCTGTGGTTTGTTGATACACCGAACTGAATTAGGGTGGGTATTTATCAACGAAACAGTATACGCGGACTCTTGACGAAATGATCCACCGAACAGAATTAGCGTGGGTATTTATCAACGAAACACTGATACACAAACTCTTGATGAAATGATCCACCGAACTGAATTAGCGTGGGGATCTACCAACGAAACAGTTTACGCGGACTCGACAAACGAGTTGTTCCAGTTAGCGTGCGGTACGTGGAAAATCTGACCAGAGCCTAAATTATGAACCTCACGCAGGACTAGTGTTTGGGTAAATATAGCTGGTTGCTACAGATAAACAATGATACGAAATGTGAGACTCATAACCACTACTGTTGGTATGGGATGTGGGGTCCAATTGAACAGACCACCTAGCTACAGCTTGAGAGCAATGGCAAGGCCAACCTTGCCTGACTTGTCAAGAGCCTTGGAGTCAACCTCTCCTGCAATGGTGACCTTGGACTTGGGCCGGAACTCGTGCTGGAGGAGAGCAGCAACTGTGCCACGGTTGTTGAACCTGAGCTTGGCCTCTGTGAGGGGATCAAGCTCAAAGGAAGCACCTGCTGTGAAAGTAGTGTCGCTTTTGGAGAGTTTGTGCGCTGCCTCAACAGCAACCTCCACGTTGTCCTTCACCTTCTGGAAATAAGCTGCCTTCAAAGTGTCCAGCTTGTCAGCACTGCACACATTCAGGCATTGCAGGCTTAGTCAACCACTGGTGTGGTGCAAAAAACGGGAAACAAAAGAGCGGGTAAGACAGGCTTACATCAACAAGGAAGCGGCGAAGTCGGATTCGGAGTAAGCCACGCCAAGGTTGTACTTGGTCGCGCTGTTAGTAGCAGTGTCGTAGCCAAGCTCAGCACCAACAACCACTCCCTTGGTTCCGACGGAAAGAGCACCCTCGAAAACGGGTTGTGTAACAAGACCGACGGTGGCATTCACGTGTAGCAACTCTTGCTTGTAGGTCAGCTCAGCCTGCAAAACCCCGAGGTACTCATGTCATGCAATATTCTAGAAATGAAGTTCAAATCGTTCCGCGCGAGCAAACACTGAGTGATGATCAGGGTTCACCCACTCACCTTGGTGGCTTTCGAGTCCGGAACGATCCCAGTTAGGGCAAGCTTCAGACCAGGAGCAAGATCCTCGTAAACGGCCTTGAAATAAAGCTGAAACACAGGGAAGGACACGTTTCCAGATCAGACTGTCAGCCCGTGGCTGCTGCTAAGGCACATTATATTCTTTCAACATAATTCCCGTACGTACCTTGGACTTCGTATCAAGCTTGAACTCCGCCTCAACGTTTCCAATCTCGACCTCAGTCTTCACATCGCACGACACCTCGTCTCCCTTCTTCACTGATGCGGTTTGAAACTTCTGCATTTAATAAAGAAGGGAGCATTAGCACTACTGGATCTTATCCTGGCTCAAGTGGAGTTGTATCTAATAAACTTACCAAGCCCGAATCAGTCTTTGTGGAGATGTTGATGCTGTGATCGTAAGCGTAATGCTTGAAAAGAAGCTCTGTTCAAGATCCATAAATGCTCAATCAGAACACACATACGACGCGCTTAAGTAACGACTACACGGTAACTGTCAAGACGAACGGTCTTACCCTTGGCCTTCTTGCCAATATCTGAGAAGGAACCAGGACCCTTTCCCATGGCGGTCGACGCGAGTTACGAGAAAGGAAGAGATTATTGCTAGGGTTCGGCACAGAAAGCACGAACACTAGAGAAGAGAGGAGGATTTGCTGGTTCGCTGAACCAAAATGAAACTCAGATGCTGGAAACTAGAAAGACGTGGAGGAGGAAAACAAATCCACGCAACGTGGCGAAGATATTGACGAAGGAAGATGCTGGTTTTCCTTCGGTAAAATCACACAAAAATCGTGGTCCCCTGAGTCAACCCTATGTTCTTGTAGAATCGACTGAACAAACTGGATGGAAACGCAATGTAGCAATCATGTTTATGGAGACAGCTTAGTGTTTCCACTCGAAATTTTGGGTGATTGTCGCGAAACGCATCCGTGTGCAGAGTGGTGTTTTTGTGGCGGTCTTCCAAGAAACAGCTGTCAGAGCTCTTGATTTTGGGATCCATTTTCACCACCCATGCTGCGTGTTGTTGACACCAGGATCTGGTGGTGACTGACTAGGTTGTCCTTGAATGACAACGGTCTTACGGTTTTCTCTCCAAAGGCCTGAGTTGTCGTCATCTTAGTGTCACGAGCATAGCATTCTGTCCACGTAATGCTGCAGCTTCTATACTGCTATCCTCGTTATGCCAAGGCTCGCTAACCATGCATTCATGGGACAGCTTAGAGTCTGCCACCTACATGCTTGTCTGTGATCGGAGTCTTGGACAGCCGCATAGTTCAAATCCTAGGCTACGCTTTACAGTCTGTAGCTCGTCGCCGTCAATTCATATTATTCCTGAATTAGATGGAGTGCAATAGAGAAGACGCGACGAAGGCTAAGGAGCTAGCCGAAGCGGCTCTTTCAAGCGGCGATTACGCCAGGGCTCGTCGACTAGTATCGAAAGCCCAATCCCTCTTTCCCAATCTCGACGGGCTCACGCAGGTCAGTGCCGTGGTCGAAGTGCACGAAGCTTCGCTGAACCGCGTGGGAGGTGACGTGGACTGGTACGCGCTTCTCCAAATCCCCGCATTCTGCGATGACGACAGTCAGATCAAGAAGGCTTACCGTCGCCTGGCGCTGCTGTTGCATCCCGACAAGAACAAGACCAGCGGAGCGGAAGCAGCGTTCAAGCTGCTATCCGAGGCGTTCACGGTGGTATCAGACAAGCAGAAGAAGGCCGTGCATGACGCCAAGCGACGACTAAACGTGACCACAGGGCGAGCAGGAGCAGCAGCCGGCGCTAATGCCTCGAAGAGTCAACACAGAGCTCCTGCAGCAGCGAAACCCCCGCCTGCAGCACCAGCAGGGGGAGCAGCAGCAGCAGCAGGGGGACAGGGAGCGGGGAATCAGTTCGAGACGCGGTGTCCGACGTGCGGGACGCGGTTCTTGTGTTTGCGGGACGCCATGGCGGTCGTTGTACAGTGCATTATCTGCAAGAGCTCGTTCAAGGCCATGCCTGCTACCGCGTCTGCCTCTAACGCGTCTGCCGCTGGCTATGCAGCTGGTAAACAAAACGGCACCGTGCCGCAACCACGGACGCAGTCACAGGCAGCAGCGCAGGCACACGCGCAAGCACACGCACAGGCACATGCACAGGCAGTAAGGCAGGCACAGGCACAAGCACAACAGGCACAGGCACAGGCACAACAGGCACAGGCACAGGCACAGGCACAGGCACAAGCACAAGCGAGGGGTGCACCTCAACAGCCCAACTTCATGCCAAACGGCGGAATGCAGTACGGCATGCCAGCGAGCTACAGCTCCGTGCATTCCTCTGCTAGCGCCGCTGCCGCCATGGCTGCAGCTGCAGCCGCACAGGCCGCTGCTGTTGCGGAATCCCTGAGGGGCACGGGGGGAGGCGCGGCTGCTGCTGCTGCAGCAGCCGGAGAAGCTGCTGCTGCTGCTGCGGCGACGGCTGCAGCAATCGCAGGGCAGTTTGGAGGGATGGGGACTGGGGGGGCTTTTCCTGGTGCTGCTAACTTTGCAAAGTTTTCGTTTTCGGCGGATGGTGCGGGGGTGTATGGCAGTCAACAATGGCAACAGCAGCAGCAGCAGCAACAACAGCAGCGGCTGCAGCAGCAGCAACAACAGCAGCGGCTGCAGCAGCAGCAGGAGCAATTGCGGCGACAACAGCAGCTGCAGCAGCAGCATCTAGAGGAGCAGAGTCGGCTGCAGGAAGCACAGAGGCGGTTACAGCAGCAGCAGCAGGAGGAGCATCGGCGGCAGCAGCAGCTTCAGCAGGAAGCACAGCGGCGGCAGCAGCAGCTGCAGCGGGAGCAGCATGAGAGGATGCGAGCAGCGATGGGGGCAGGTGCAGCAGGGGTGGGTACGCAGCAGTTTGGTCAAACAGGAAGCGTGGAGGAGGCGTTGAGGGCTAGAGCGGAGGAGGAGAGGGCGCAAAGGGAGAGAGTTGCAGGGGAGGTGCAGCAGGAGCAGGCGAAGGCGCAGGTGAGGCGGCAGATGCAGATGGATGAGTTGCTGGAGCGCAGGCAACGCCAGCAGGCGAAAACCGCCGCTGCTGCTGCTGCTGCTGCCAGAGCTACCGGTGCTGGTAATGGCGCTGCAGGTGCGCAGGAAGCAGCAGCAGCAGGTGGAGAGAGTGAGAGGGGTGGTGGGAAGCAAGCAGGGCGGAGGAACAGGTTGCGGAAGAGGAAGCAGGGGGGAGGGCGAGGGGGCGCAGGGGACAGCAGCGATGATGACGAGGAGTGGGACTTCCGTATGGATGCAGACAGTGATGATGATGATGCTGGTCGTGGTGCTGGTGGTGGGGGAGGAAACAGGGACCCCTCGCATGGGGGCTACGAAGGGTGGCAAGCAGGCACGGGGCAGGCACAGGGAGAGGGCGGAGGAGTTGGGGAGGACGAGGAGATGGTGGGGGGTGGTATGAGGCGGTCGGCGCGCAGCAGGAAGCCGGTGGTGTACCACCTGGGGGATGACAACGACGATGATGACGTCATGGAGGTGACCGAGGCCGAGGCGGGGATGAAAGGGGTCAATGGGACGGCCGCAGGGGGCGGCGGTCAACCCAGGAGACCCAGGGCTGACCAAGACTCAGCTGTGGGGGGAGGTGATGCGAGCAAGGGCTTCGCGGTTGATGGTAGACCTGGGCTGGCTGGAGACGCCTCAGGGAGGGTGCATGGAGAGGGGAATTTCACGGATGTGCCTATGGACGGCAAGCCAGGGGTGTCAAGCCACGCAGCAGGGAAGGAAGAGGGGAGGAGTGGTGAAAGGCGAGCGGAGGGCCGTGGCAGCAGTGGTGGGAAGAAAAGTGGTGATGGGAAGAGGAATGGGTTTATGCATGAGGGGGAGGTGGTGGAGATCATCTCGTCTGATGAAGAGGAAGAGGAGAGCGAGGAGGAGGGGGAGGAGGGGGAGGAAGCAAAGCGCTTCTCTGTTCCGGATCCTGACTTCCACTGCTTCGATGATGATCGCACAGAAGAAACGTTCCGACAAGGAGATGTGAGTTCCAGTCCTCATCCCACACACAGCATACAGCAAGTCCGTTGTGTCCTTGCGTCTGAACTCGTAATCCTCCTTGTTTCCACGCTTCACCATGGTTTCCTGCTCTCGTTTGTTTGCCCCTCACCCCCAACAGGTATGGACCCTTTACGATGACTCTGATGGCTTCCCCCGCTTCCTCGGCGCCATCCGCCAAGTGTCCCACACGCCTTTCTCCTGCACCATAGTCTGGCTCGAACCCGCCGCTCCTTCCAAGAAACGCACTACTGCCTCCGCCGCCCTCACTCAAACCGAGGCCGCAGCTGCTCTGGCCGATCCAGCAGAAAGAACAGAGCCCAGCATCGGGTACTTCAAATTCGGCAAACCCACAGCGCTTGACTCTGTTAACACCTTCTCCTTCCGGATCTCCAAGCTAGCTTCCCCGAATGCGCGCACGGCTACAGTTTTACCAGAGATAGGGCAGGTGTGGGCACTGTACGCAGAAAAGTCATTTGCCAGGCGGAGGTACTATCTGGTGGAGGTGATACCTGCTGAGTCGTCCATACCTCTGCCAAGTGACCCCACAGCAGCGTCGGCAGCAGCAGCAGGAATGCATGGGGTTACAGCGATGGGGTGGAGGGCTGTGTGGTTCCTGGAGAGGGTCCCTGGTGGAGTGTTCAGCTCACTATTTCAGGTGTGTTTGCATGGGCTTGTGAATGCATATGTGCATGGGGTGTGCTTGCAAGTGTGCATGGGACATGCATGTGCCTATGGTACTGAGATCGATGTCCAACTTTGCAGTGTCGCTGTTCCTTTTGCTCTCTTAGTGCCTGTCCCTTCGGCGCTGCCAACTCATTTCTCCCCATCTCTTTTTCCCTCCACAACAGAGAATTCCTGGTGGCACGCGGTTTGTTCGCCTCAACAGTTTCTCACACCTCGTTCCAAGCTTCCACCTACAAGGCAATGAGAGCAGCCCTAAAAGATTACCCCCTCCTCCTCGTGGTGCTCTAGAGCTGGATCCTGCTGCCACCCCCTCAAATCTTGCGCCATTTCCTCCTACAGTAGAATTGTGATGATAGATCGTGTACGCAGCGTGAAGCGAAGCTTATCTACGGGATCACTAAGGGCCCAACAGAAGTCCTCAGTTGCAACATGCAGGTTGCTCATCTTGGCAACCTCTTACAGTGCATATGATATAAAACCGCAGATTTCCAAATACTTGTATAAATTCAAAATTACCAGCCTGCCACAAGATTCAAAATTCAAAATTCAAAATACATGTTGCACACAAGAAGACATAACATCCACTTCAGTCTGCCAGCATTTTGTGTAAGTGAGTTGAATGTATATGGGTGGTGAACACCATTATGATTGTACGTATTCATATGATTTCGACATTATTTACACCCAATCTCGGAGTCATGCCCTCGAGCATGTCTGGAAAGCCGAGCCGCTTGGCTCGAAAATCTCGAGAAAAGGCGCCCCCTGCTGCTCTCAGCAGGTGGTTAGGTAGGAGTCAGTCAGTCTGATAAACTTACACTAGACTGACACCCCTGTCGTCATTTCTCTGACAGCCGCCGTTTACGTTGTCTATTTGAGTGGCGATCGCACCGCCTTTTTCACTAAGGCTGCTCTAGTCCTTCAGCATGTATTTAAATCGTAACCCACGAAACTTAGTGCTCACACTTCGCAGTTGTTCCGAATCTGTGATAACGTCTCGCTGACGCCATCCACTTATACCGTCCTCTCGCCTATACTCTTTCCATTCATGGCTCCGATCAACACTCCGTCGAACATGGCGATTTTTCCGTGCACCACAAGTCCGAAAAACAAGTTCGGGAGGGGCTTCAGGTATTACATTCCACTGCATCCGCCATGAGTTCCGTCCTCCTCTGGATGATCCTCCAAGCCTGCTAAGCCTTACATTCGCCCGCTGCTGTTTTCAGGGAATACGGCGAGGAAAACGAGAGGAACACGATGGTCGAGAACGTCTACCACATTAACCATTCCAAGCAGACCCTGGGATTTGTAAGTCTGGATGCATTCTCAGCTTGTCCTTCCAAGTGTTACACGTTATGGCATGTACTGATTGTTTGTCTGTCTTCTGACGTGAATTCAGGTGCTCGCAATGAAGGAACGGCATCTGAAGCTGGACAAGGCCGAGATGAGCGTGTGGGAAGCGGCGGAGCTCTTAAACGAGCTCGTGGACGACAGCGATCCCGATCTAGATATGGCGCAGATCGAGCATGCACTACAGGCAGCGGAGGCGATCAGACGGGACCACCCGAGCGAGGAAGAAGACTGGTACCCACTCGTTGGGTTCCTTCATGGTAATTTCTTAAGAAACGTTTGCACTTTCTGCTAGATTGGTGTACATTTGATAGCCGATTTGACAAATTCTTACTGTTTTTGTTTCAGATATGGGGAAGGTTCTCCTGCATCCGAAGTTCGGCAGCGAACCCCAGTGGGCAGTTGTTGGTAAGTCATGCCGTTTTGGGTACACGCAGCAAGTTTCGCTGATGCTTGGTTACTAAAAGAGTCTTGTGGGTTTACTGCAGGTGATACGTTTCCTGTTGGTTGTCGGTTTAGCACCAAGATCGTCCACTCAAAGGTTGGAGCGTCTGAATTTCTAGTTGCCTTGGCTGAAAAATCTACGACCGTATTCTTTGAAGCTGACGTTCTGTTCGTTCTCCCTCCTGCAGCTCTTCAACAGCAATCCAGACTCTTCAGTTGAAGAACTGAGCACAGAGTGTGGTATTTATGAGGAAGGCTGCGGAATGGACAAGGTCCACATATCCTGGGGCCATGACGAGTATATGTGAGTGGCAATTGCACCTTTCTTACAGAGCGCGGTGTTCTTTAAATCCCTCAACTAAACCATATTCGGTTATTCTCCTGCAGGTACCAAGTCCTTGTCCAAAACGGCTGCAGCATTCCACCACAAGGCCTCTACATGATCCGCTACCACTCATTCTATGGTGAGTGCAACAGCGCGCAAATGTGCGTTGATGCTGTTATTTGGTGGTGACATTTCAGTTCTGACCTACCGTATCATGGACGCAGCTCTGCACAGGGATGAGGAGTACCAACACCTGATGGACGACTTTGATCGGAAGATGCTTCCATGGCTCAAAGACTTCAAGTAAGAACAAACACTCTCTGATGCTTATCTGTGTGTATATTTCGAGGTCTAAGACTATGCCTTGAACTTGTCTCTCCCCCCAGCCAGTACGACCTCTACAGCAAGAGTGCACAGCGCTTGAATGTGGAGGAGCTCAAGCCCTATTATCAAAGGCTCATTGCCAAGGTAGGTACACAGTGATGTTACTTGCCATTGCTGCATGTTGCCTCAACTTGCCAATCTTATCTGTAATAATCTGGCCTCTCACATTGCATTGCAGTACACCCCTAAGGCAATTCTCAAGTGGTGAAGCAACCAAGTGCAGTAGCTGGGTAGTTTACAGGGTCCAAGCTTCCCTCAGTAGCGCAGAGCAGAGGGATCTCCTAAGATATTTAGTGTTCACGACTAGGAGCAAGCTTGAGACGGTTAAGAAGCAAGAATGATTATGGAAGTCAGCAATGGTACCATATGTATACTTCATCAGCAAGTCAACAGAGCAGAGCAGAGACATACGGTACGGTACACTGAAAGACATGACAAAAAAGCAGCTGAAAGCAGTGGTGACACATGCTATGCTCCAAGGCAGGTCTCTGGCCATCTGTTCCCCCACAATGCACATACCTCAATCCATCTGCCATGCCATCCCCCACATCCATACACACAATTCCGAACAGACCATGCCAGCAGCACAAGCCACAGGACAACCAGGGCAGACAGGAGAACATGGTCCATCCCAGCAGCCAACTGTGTGCCAATGAGAAGGCAAGCTAGCAGCATATGGAGGCATCCCATCCCATGCTTGCAGTGAAATAGCATCACAAAGCAGGACAAGCCGACCAGAGCTCTTCAGCCAGAGAAGACAGAAGGACAGATGGCATGAGCTGCCTTGCCTTGTGCGTTGGCTGGCTGGCTGATGCCCGATTGGATGCACGGTCCATGATGGAGTGTGGACGGATCCTCCACATGAATGGTGTTTAGCTGTCTGTGCTGGTATGTTGATCTGAAGGTCAAGAGTGGCCTGCATTGGCTGACACTTCAGAAAAGTGATGCACATCTCATGCACACGTGCTCAGGCATGACATCAACATTCGTCACATGAATGCACATTCCTGCGCATTGATGTAAATTCATGACCATTGATGCACACTCATGCTTGACACACATTCATACACATGAATGATCACTCATGCACATCAATGCCCAACCATGCAGATGCGCAATCATGCACATTCATGCAAACCAGCATGACCCATGCTATGAAAAACAAATCCAATCTGTGCCACTCCCACACAATCCATGGGCTCCAAACAAGCCCATTCCCAAGCCGCCTTCTCCCAAACGCCATCAAGGGAAAAGTTCAGCATGAGGCCTGAAGAAATAGCAGATAGACTTTGGAGCGCGTTGCAGCAGCAGCAGTAGTAGAAGCAGCAGTAGTAGAAGCAGCAGTAGTTGCGGGGCCAGCAGCAGTTGCAGACACAGCAGCAGTGGGAGACGAAAAACTAGAAGGTTCTTGCGAAGGTGTGGTGGCAAACGATTCTAAAGAAGAGCGAGCTACAACTCAGACAGGAGACGAATCACGCAGCCTAGGCGAGAGCCACATCAGTCGCTGCGAGAAGGAGAGTCGTCATCGGAGGCCGGGCGGCGATTGTCCTTGCCACGGGCAGGAGAGAGGGAGGGCGAGCGACGCCTGCAGTACAGCAGATTTTAAAGAACAAATGTTACAGCCAAACATTGTAGTATGCTCCAAAGCACAGCACAAGGAGAAGGACAAAGTTCAGAAGTTTTGGACCACGGGTAAAGCACAAACAGACCTGGAGCGATGGCTGCGGCTGTGGTGCTTCTTATCCTTAGAAGACCGTCCCCTTTCCTCATCAGACTCATCGCGCCCCGACCTCTTCCTGCTGCTCCTCCTTCCACCCTTCTCCTCCTCCTCATCATCAGACCCTCTCTCCTTCCGCCTCCCCCCACGACCCTTCTCCTTCCTGTCCCTATCATCCCTCTCGTCCTCATCAGACGACCTATCCTTCCTCCCCTCGCCTTCCTCATCCTCGTCGTCGTCATGGCGGCTGCGCCGAAGCTTGTGGCTCTTCTTGCTCCTCCTGCTGCGCCTGTGACGCCGCTCCTCCTCGTCCTCCTCACTCTCTTCGTCATCATCACTGTCCGGAAAGCACACGAGGAGAGCAGAAAGCGTGAGGAAAAAGAAGCATCGGCTACCTAGCTCAGAATGAGACCTGATCGGTCATGTCACTAAAAAACAAGCCACTCCAGATTGTTTACTCCCACTTCTCACTTACCGGTTCTTCCTCCGGCGGTGCTTCCTCTTCTTCTCCTTGTGCCGTTCACTCTCCTTCCTGCTCCTCCTCTCCTTCTCATCCTCATCCTCCTCCTCCTCCCCCTCTCCTCCCTCCTTCGCGGCTCCCTCGTCCTCCGATCCTCCTTTGCTCCCATTCTCAATCACCTTCTCCTCGTTACTCTCATCCCCCTCTCTCTCCTTCGCCTTCTCCCTCTCATCCTCTTTCTCCTTCTCCTCATCACTTTCAACCCTTCCCTTCCTCTCCATTTCCCTCTCTTCTTCAATATCATCCGTCTCCTTCTCCTCCTCTTTTTCCTTCTCTTCCTCACTCTCATCCCCTCCCTTCTTCCTCTCAATTTCCTTCTCCTCTTCGCTCTCATCCTTCTCCTTCTCTGCATCAACCTCCATTTTCTTGGCCCTCTCTATTTCACTCTCACTCTCTCCCTCACCCTCACTCCCTGCACGCCGCGACCCAGCATCTTTCGCCTTCTCCTCGCTTTCCTCCTCCTTCTCGACGCTCTCACGCCTCTCCTCGCTCCCACTGCGCCTCTCCTCCTCCTCCTCTTCATCCTCTTCCACTTTCTTCGTCTTCACCCTCCCTCCCTCTCCTTCAGAGCGGTCACTATCCTCCTCTTCCTCCTCCTTCTTAGCTCGCTTTTCCCCATCCGAGCGATCACTCTCGTCCTCCTCGTCCAGCCCTCCCTTCCTCGCAACCCGCTCGCCCTTCTTTTCCTTCCTCTCTTCCTCCTCCTCATCTTCGTCATCCTCCTCCGCACCTCTCCGCCTCTCCGCCTCGCGCCGCTGCCTCTCCAGCTTGTCCCGAAGCAGCTTCTCTCGCAGCTCCTTCTCCCGCCGCTCCGCCTCCTTCCGCCCACCCCTTCCCTTCCCCCTCTCCTCCTCATCCTCCTCGTCCTCCTCACTCTCCTCACTCGCGCCCCTTCCCCTCGCCTTCCTCGCAGCTTCCTTCCGCCTGGCCTCCTCTCGCTCCTCACTCTCCTCTTCCGAATCCGGCTCGTCCCGGCCGCGACCTTTCTTCCTCTCAACCCTCTCCTCCTCCTCATCCTCCTCATCAGACTCATACCTTCCCTTGTACCTATCGTCTTCCTCAATCCTCCCTCTGCCGCGCCTCCCCTCGTATCTCTCGTCGTCATCCTCTCTGTCCCTCTCCTTCTCTCTACCCTTGTCCCGCCCACGCTCCCTCGCCCTTTCCCTCTCCCTCTCCTTCTCACGCTCCCGCGCCCTCTCCCTCTCTCTCTCCTTCTCCTTCTCCCTCTCTCTCGCCCTCTCCCTCTCCCTTTCCCTCTCGCGTTCCCTCTCTCTCGCCCGCTGTAACTCCCTCTCCTTCTCCCTCTGCCTATCCCTCTCAATCTTCCTCTCCCTCTCCCGCTCTCTCTCCCTCTCCCTCTCCTTGTCCTCAGCCTCCCAGTCCCTAGTGCGGCTGTACTTATAAGAGTGATTATGCCCGCGTTCCCGCCATCCATACCCCCGATCGCGGCTCCTGCTTCGAGGCCGTCGATCCCGATCGCGCGACCTCGACCGTCCGCGGTACCGCGGGGAGCGGGAGCGGGACCGCCCGCGGTGGCGGTCGCGGCGGGAGGGGGAGCGCGAGCGCGAGCGCGAAGAGGAGCGCGACCTGTCGGAGCCGCTCCCGTCCTTGCCCTTCCCGTTGTCCTTCCCGTCTTCCTTCCCCGCGCCGCCCGCCGCAATCGCGCGGCTGATCTCTTTCGCGCGCTTCGCGGCGAGTTCCGCCTTGGTCTTGGCTTCCGAGCTGCGCACCTGCTGCGCCAGCGCCTGCTGCATCGCGAGCGCCTGCTGAAACTGCATGAACGGCATTGCGACGGCCTGCTGCATCGCCATCTGCGACGTCGCAGCGGTCGTCGCAGGGGACGGCGCGGGGGCGGCGGGCGCGGGAGCGGGCGCGGGTGCGGGGGCGGGCGGAGCGAGCGCGGTGAGGACGGCCTGGCGCGTGGCTTTCGCGGTTTTTGCGAGCTCGACTTTGAGCTGCTTGTCGCCGACCGCCATGTTGTTCAGCGCGAGCGCCGCTTTCGCCTCGTCGGCTTTCCCGAAGCGCACGTGTGCGACGGTTTTCTTGTCGTTGAGGAATTCGCAGCGGGTAACCGTGCCGCAGAAGGCGAAGAGCTGGCGAAGCTGCTCGGGCGTGAGGATGGCGCTGACGTTGGTAACGTGCATTGTTCGCTCCAACTCGTCGTCGTCCATCGCCGCTGCCAGTCGCACAGACAGTCGCACAGAAAGGAAGGTTGAGCGAAACGATGGCGAAGGGACACGTGGTGCGGCGTGATTGGAGTCAGGGATCAGAAGAAGAGTGGAACGGGCGAGAGGGAAAGGTGGAAACCGGAAGGCGGAGGAGCAGGTGCACTGCGATGTTCGGCGCGCGGACAAGCAAAGTCACGGGATTAAACGGCTGGTTGGCGCACACAGGCGGAACGTGTGGGGTGCGGTAAGAGGGGTGGAGTAGGCGGGGTGGGGTAGAGAGGTGGGGTGCGGGGAGGTAACCGCACTTACAATAAAAGTCCTCGATGTATTCGCTCTTCTGCTGCAACAGCTTCTGCTGTTGAATCGCCGCCGCTGCCGCCACCGCTTGCGCCTGAGCCTGCGCCTGCGCCTGCGCGTGCACTTGAGCGTGCGCTTGAGCTTGCGCTTGCGCCTGCGCCTGCGCCTGTGCTTGCGCCTGCGCCTGCGCCTGCATCGCCTGCACCGCCATGATGCTCTGCGCCGCCGCCATCGCCGCCGCTGATGGCGCAAGAGGCATGTTCGTCAATCCTCCTACAGCATTCAAGCACACACGGAAGACAAGAGACAAACGTTTATTTTTTTTTGGAAATACTCTTCCAAACAAAATCAGATTTTACCGGCAAAAAAGCAAAAGAAAGAAAAAAAAAGGAAAAAATAATAAAAAATACAGATGCTTGTTCCAGGACAAACGGACGCGATGTATCTTAAAAAGACATCCAAACAGCACGCCAGTTCTAATTTCGCCCCAGGTTTCACAACAGAAACACAAGCAATTTCAATCTCACCGGTTCCGGGCAGCACGCCGCCCGCCATGCCGGGGTACGGGCTCGTGAAAGGCATTCCCCCCATGCTCGGCAGCAGCCCGCGGAACTGAAGCGCCGCCGCCATCAACGGGTTATGCATGCCCGGCGCCATTTGCGGCGTCGGCAGTTGCGGCGTCGGCAGCGACGGCGTCGGCATCAGCGGAGGCGCCGGCGCCGCGTTGACCGCCACCGGAAGCGGCGTTGACGCCTGTTGACCGGCTGTAGCAGCGCTGAAGAAAACCGGGAACGGGCTGCCCATGATGGGACTGCCGTTGACTTCCGCGTTGACCGTGTAATCTCCTCGGTGCTGTACGGTGTAAGCAGCCGTGTACGACCCGTCGCCGTGGTCCTTGATCGCCGCGATCTGCTCCTGTCCAGGCACGCCCGCCTTAGGTGTCACCTTCACCGTCACCTTCGCGCCGCCCGCTAAGATCCGCCGCCCGTCCTCGTCTTTAAGGACTATAACGAAGGACACCGGCGCGCCCGCCGATCCGCCCCCGACGCCCGATCCCGCGGCGGAGCACTTGGCGGGGCAGACCGGCCCGATGGGTTTCTTCGCGAGCCGCTGCGCTTCGTCCTCCTCCTCGTCGTCGCTGCTGTCGGTGTCGTCGCCTCCGCCTACTGCGCCGGACTTGGAGGCGGCGACGGCTGCTGCTCGAGCCGCTTCTGCTTTAGCCTTCTCCTCCTGCTCCTTCATCCATGCCGGCTTCGTCAGCGCGATTCCGCGACCGGCCATGCCCTAGAGGCCCGCGCGCATGAGACGACGGGAACCAAGCAGCTAGCTAATTTCTATCGAAACAAGATCTACGGCTGGTACAAGATAGAGCGAAGAAATGATGAAAACTTTCTGTTCGGAGATATTTTAGTTTGCAAGGGGAAATGGCAGTGAACAGATGAGCCCTAGGGCGAGAGGAGGGAGAGGATTTGTGGGAATGGCGAAGCACGACGGAGCGACGGTGTGTTCCTACGTCTCATATCAGGCAACCTCATATCAGGCTTGCCTGGTAAACTAGCTTGATGATTTCGGGTTTTAGGGGAATTTTCAGTGTAATCCTGATATGAGGCTCGCTTGATACGAGCCGTAGGAACACGCCCTTACACCTGCGTGTCACACCCTTGGCTGTCCCAAGTCGAGTGGCGAACAGCCAGGAGGGAAGTTTCCACCAACTAGAAGATTCCAGAACCTTATATAGAACCTCCGGTGTATGGATCAACTTAAAATCATCTAACAAAATACGCCAATGTCTTATGCTACATATTATATTTTGCAGGTTATGGGCGTCAACCGCCCTTTTACTCCAAATATCATCACCTTCCGATATCACACCTCATCCTGTTCCACCGATAGCCGTGACTCTTGCTCACGGCCGTCCCCCTGCATTCCCTTCATCCACATCCCTCGGATGTTCCTCCGCCGCTTGATCAGGTCTTGGACCAGCAACCACCGGTGATCGGTCTTCGGTGTTTGCCGGCGCTGCAACAGCAAGAATGCACACGTGGGTTCATGGACACACAAAAAGAGAGACCAAGAGACAGGTCAGCGAGTACCTAGACTGCATAAAACCTTGGCAATCTGCAATGCTGTGAACAAGAACCGTAAGGCAGCAAGCAATCAAGCAACCATTTTTTCCCTGAGAGCCTGTCCCTAAACTCACTGCCCGCACTAACCTGAAACAATCCCCCCTTCCTAATCCATTGCACTGAAGTTAAACCCATAACAAGGGTGAGCTGTTAAAAGCCCATGACACTCACTCTGAGAGCGCGCATGAAGTCCAGCACGGCGTCAAACTCAGGCGCCTGGTGGGTCTCCACCACGTGGTCGGATAGCCTCTCGTTACAGCCCGTCAAGCTCACCCTTAAAGCCCCTTCTCACCTGGAGAGCGGGCATGAAGTCCAGCACGGCGTCAAACTCAGGCGCCTGGTGGGGCTCCACCACGAGTCGGTTAGCCTCTCGTTAAAGCCCGTCAAGCTCACCCTTAAAGCCCCTTCTCACCCGGAGAGTGGGCATGAAGTCCAGCACGGCATCGAACTCGGGCGCCTGGTGCTTCCCCACCACGTGGTCAAACAGCCTCTCGTTACAGCCCGTCAAGCTCACAATTAAAGCCCTTTCTCACTCTTAGGGCGCGCATGAAGTCCAGCACAGCATCAAACTCAGGCGCCTGGTGCTTCGCCACCACGTGGTCAAACAGCCTCTCCGCTGCCGCCATGCTGCGCCTCTGCCGTGTTGCCAGGGCATGGGGAGGGAGGGGTGGGGGAACGGCAGACACATAGTTCATCCTACAATTCACCATATGGTTCTTCTATGCCCACTCACATGACTGCTCGCCCATATGCCTGCTCGCCCATATGACTGCTCGCCCATATGACTGCTCGCCCATATGACTGCTCGCCCATATGACTGCTCGCCCATATGACTGCTCGCCCATATGACTGCTTGCCCATATGCCTGCTCGCCCATATGACTGCTCGCCCATATGACTGCTCGCTCAAATGGTGAGTGCCTCTTGCAGCAGCTGGCTGCTCTGCTTGCACGGGTGGATCGGGGGAGCACACAGGATTTACCCTCAGCATATGATTGTAGTCTCATGCCTGCTCTCACATCGCTGGTGACCGCCTCCTGCAGCAACAGGCTACCCTGTTTGCACATTGCTCCACACCCATATGGCTGCACGCGCATCTCACTGAATCACATCACACTCACATCGCTGGTGACCGCCTCCTGCAGCAGCTGGCTGCCCTGCTTGCGCATCGTTGCACACACATGTGACTGCATTCACATCACCTCACATGCCTGCACTCCCGTCTCACTGCATTCACATCACCTCACATGCCTGCACTCACATCGCTGGTGAGAGCCTCCTGCAGAAGCTGGCTGCCCTGCTTGCGCAATGCTGCACGCAAATAAGGCTGCATTCACAGCACACTCATATCGCTCCACACTCAACCGTATCGCAGCACACTCAACCGTATCGCTGCACACTCAACCGTATCGCTGCACACTCAACCGTATCGCTGCACACTCAACCGTATCGCTGCACACTCAACCGTATCGCTCCACACTCAACCGTATCGCTGCACACTCAACCGTATCGCTGCACACTCAACCGTATCGCTGCACACTCAACCGTATCGCTCCACACTCAACCGTATCGCTGCACACTCAACCGTATCGCTGCACACTCAACCGTATCGCTGCACACTCAACCGTATCGCTCCACACTCAACCGTATTGCTGCACACTCAACCGTATCGCTCCACACTCAACCGTATCGCTGCACACTCAACCGTATCGCTGCACTCACACTCACATCGCTGGTGAGAGCCTCCTGCAGCAGCTGGCTGCCCTGCTTGCGCGTGAAGTAGAAACCGTGGTTGAAAAACAGCTCCTGGTATGCAGGGGTGTGCAGGGGGGTGCGGATGGGTGCGGATGGGTGCACATTGGTGCACATGGGTGCACATGGGTGCACATGGGTGCAGGGGGACAGAGTGAGCCGGGTTTTCGCATGCAGATTGGCAGCAAGGGCATGTTGGATTATGCATAAAGGCGTTAACGCAGTGCGGGTGGGGGTGTCGGGAGGCAGAGAGAAGAAGGAAGCAGTGATGTCCGAAAGAGGAGGATAGGATGTGGGCATGGTGGACGGTGGGACGTGGGGGAGAGAGGGCGAGGGTGGTTACCAGCAGTTGCAGGGCGACATTCATGCCAATGGGTCGCAGCTCCCTCAGACTGTACGAGATGGCTTGCTGCCACGGGTGGTGTGCATGGCACGCATGGCATGGTGGGGCGGTGGAGGGGGGAGGAGAAAGGAAGACCGGAAATGCAGGGAATAATGAGAATTCTCAGCAGCTCCCTCAGGCTGAACGTGATGGCTTGCTGCCATGGATGGCCCACATGGCACGCCAGGGCATGGTGGAGCGTGCAGGGGGCCCAAGAATGGAGGGGAGAGGAGAAAGGAAAAAATCCTCACCGCAATTCTCCTATCTCTCCTCAGTGCATCCCTGCCCAGCGCATCGCTGGTGCAACCCATCTCTGTGTGTGGCTCACCACGAACTGGTCGATGTAGGGGCGGGCTTGTGGGCCGTAGTAGAGGTCAGCCAGCTTGAGTGCCTCTGCCTCGTTGCCCGCCTGCAGATGCACCCTGATGGATGCATGCATGCGTGCGTGCGTGCACGTCCAAATCATGCACATGCGTGTGCATACGAACCAGAACATGCAACGAGGGCAGTGAGGGCAATCAGGGAGAACAAATAACAACACATCGTTATTAGATCAGCCTGACACGCCACGCCATGCCATGATATGCCAATCCATGCTATGAGAGGCAGAGGAACGCACCTGAAGAGGATAGTCTGCAGGGCAGCATCCGGGACAATGTGACTCTCCTCTATCATCCGCACCAGTCGGAATGCTGCCTGCATGCATGGGCGTGGCGGCACATGCATGCACTCACACGCAAACATCCACGCACGGGAGCGCGCACACATACACGCACACACACACATACACGCACACACACACAGGCGCACGCAAGCACACATGAACATGCAAACGCACACATACGAATTCTTAGCAAGCACTTTTCGCCATTTCCTTGCACACCATTTTTCAAAATTCTCTAAAGCGACTCAGATCTTGCCATTTCTCAGCACATCGTCAGCCCCACACACCACCATTTGCCGAACACATCACACGTCCTCACCTCACTCCCCTGCAGTCCCCCCCTCTCCCCCACCTCCATCAGCCACACACACCTGCGCACCCAGAAACGCCCTAACGGCAGCAGCACAGAGCACCAGACCAGCCACTCCCCAGGTGACTTACGAGTCAACTTACAGCACGCACGCCTGAGCCGACTGAAAGCGAACCTGCAACTGGTGAGCGTCGAGAAACGCCCTGAGAGCAGCGCGGTGCACCACAAGATCCGCATTCGCGTAGATCACCCCGCTGCCTGCTCCCCTCCCCCCTCCCACCTGCTCTTCCCGCCCGCCGTAATCACCCAGATGCTCTTCCATCTCCCCCATCTCCCCCATCTCACTCATTTCACTCATATCACTCATCTTCTCCTTCTCTTCCTGTACTTCTGGTGGTACACCGGCGCTGTGGACTCGTAAGTCACCTGGGCCGGAGGCAGCGGCGCCATCAGCAATAGGATCCGCACCGGATTCTTCAGGGGTGGAATCAGCAGGGTGATCAGCGGTGGGGTCAGTGATGCTGTGGGTCCTGGCAGTGGTGGCGGCGGTGGCAGTGGTGGTTTTAGTGGGGGTGGAGTCCGGTTCAAGGCTGTAGGTGGGTGCTGTCAGGGACTGTTCCAACAGAGAAAATATCTGCGGAAGGACGGAAGTGAGGGGGGGCGAGGGGTGAGTAGGAGCGAGTGGGAAAATTGAGGAAGTGAGAGGAGTGAGGGATGTGAGGGGGAGGGAAAAGCAGGGGGGCGGAGGAGGTGGAGTAAGAGGGAGAGGGAACCATTGGAGGTTGTTTTACCGAGAGGATGAAATAATTCGCTCTCGCCACCAGTGCGCATTCATCCTCGTGTCTATCCCCCCTACAGTGCGCCAACTTTCCCCAAGTGCCGTCCCCTTTCCCCTCGCCCCCAGCACACCCCTAATTGCACCTTGGCAACAATGCGCGGGGAGGAGGGGCGCACGCGCTGGTGCATGGCTATGAGTGCAGCGTAGCAGAACTTGTTCATCGCCACGCCATCCTTGCTCATTCGCTCCTGCACCTCTGCGCTGGGAGCATGGGGGGTCCGGGGGGAGTATGGGAGCAACAGATCAGAAGCCATGTTTCATGCATGCACACCCTCCCCCCTATGCACTCCCCCCGCCTGCGCTCCTGACTGCATGCGCGCGACCGCAGCATGCCAAGGGCACGACACGCGGTGCGGCAGCAGGTGAGGTGGGCGAGCAGCAGAGCTGCTCCACTCCACGAATACGGCCACCTCGCCTGCAGAACTGGTAGCTGGAGCATTACCCTCCACCGCGCACAGAGCATTACCCTCCAGCGCGCACAGGCCAATGCACTCGGCACCCACTGGACGCCCTCGTTTCCCTCAAGACCAGTGCCAGCAGGCACCAACACCAACGAGCCCGTGGCAGCGCACGTGACCAACGAGCCCGTGGCAGCGCACGTGACCAACGAGCCCGTGGCAGCGCACGTGCTCGGGCTGTACGGCCCAACAGCGCCTCTGAGTGCGGCACAGCTGCTTCACCTGATGGAACTTAGAACCCCCCACCCCATGGACCAGCAAGGCCATGGGGCTATTGATATAGGATCCGGAATGATGCTGTGCTGTGCGCTACATGTCCTTTATGGCCTGTAACCATGCATTGATTTATAACAAAGGACTATATATGCGCAGGGCAGGGTTGACGGCAGTACGCTTTGTCGAAGCGGCCGGTGGTGGTGCAGGCGGTGAGCAGCGCGTGGTAGGTGCGGATGTTGGGCGGGCGCCCTGCAGCGCGCATGTCCCAGTCCACGCGGAACACCCTCTCCACGTGCCCGCTGCGACTGTACGCCGTCATGACACAGTTGAATATGTAGCGCTGGGTGGGAAAGGGGGGAGTGGGGGGGAAGGGGAAGGGGGGTGGCTAAAGAGGCGCCCTGCAGCGCGCATGTCCCAGTCCACTCGGAACACCCTCTCCGTGTGCCCGCTGCGACTGTACGCCGTCATCACACAGTTGAATATGTAGCGCTGATTGGGGTGGGAGGGGTGGGAGGAGGGGGAAAAGCCGAGGAGTCTGCATTCGAAAAGTTTCGAAAAGCTTGTCAACAAGGAGTGTGTCAAAAGGAGTGCCTCCACAGCTTGTCAAAAGGAGTGCCTCCACAGCTTCCTGACGTGAAAGACGCTCACTATCTCACAGCTAATGCCATCTCCTAGGCGCGCGGGTCACGTCGGGCGAGATCCCTCAGGCGCGCTTGCCGTGGTAGAAGAGGAAGAGGGCGTCGCATGGTCGTACGGGTGACTTTTGAGGCGCCTCAAAAGGGTGACCTGGTCAAAGCAGAACACAAGGCCGTGCAGGCAGGTGGCGCGATCAGCACGTGCCGTGCCGTCACGTTAATGCAATGTGCAGGATGATCCATCTCACATACATCGGGCGTGATGCCGCGGCTGCGCATCTGGTTGAAGAAGAAGACGAGGTCGTGCAGGCGGTTGGCGCGCATGCACGCCGTGATGGCCGCATGGAACGTCACGAAGTTGGGCTGCACGCCGTCCATCAGCATGTCTCCGTACAGCGTGCGCAGCAGGTACGGCCTGGGGGGATGAAAGGGGAGTGCAGATGAGGTATCAGGTGCGGTCTTGGGTCGCGAGTCAGGAGACACAGCTATGGTGGGGAGAGGCGAGTGGCGGGGGAGTGTGGAGTGATCGGCGGAGAAGGATCCGCGGAGGTGATGCGCGGTAAGATCAAGGATCTGGAATGTGGGATAGCGCGGCGAACAACTGTCACCGCGTGATTTGCGAGTGAATCCGATTCGATGCGCCTCGGCGACTCACTTTCGGGAGCGCGATAGCTCAAGCGCCGCGGCGTTGTACTCGTTGAGGTTCCGCGCGTACACCACCGCCTCGTGCGCGTTATGCTCCCGCTTCATCCTCCCCCCGCTAAAGTCACTCCCCTCGCGCCCCTCATTAACGCCGGCGGATGTTCTTGCAGCGAGGGAATAAAGTCGGCTGAAAAAATGGCTCCCGAAACGAGGGGACGTGCTTTCGGTATGGTCACACCCGGCATCGTGCGATCGGATTGTGGAGGGGAGGATCGGGAGCGATGCGAGGAGCGTGCGATCAGGGTCGCCGCTTCGAGATCCGACGGATCGGATGAACGCATCGTACGGCTGGCCGCGACAAGCGCCGTCAGCGACGTCGCTGACTCGGAACGCGCGATGGGCTAAGCCCCTACGCGCGGCGACAGCCTTGGCCACGTGGCGCTGAGCCATTGACGAAGCCACGCGGCGCGAGGCTGTCAGGACGTGGACCGTCGATCAGCAAAGGCGAAATTCGTCAGCATTACAAAACAACTGGTCGTACTCGGTACAGTATGAGCCACCAACACTTGTGAAAGTAGCTTGTACCTGTTGCACCGCCACTTTTTCACTCAAGGAGCTGCTGTGCAGCCATGAACTCCACTTGTTCCATTGAACATTATTCTTGTCATAAATGAAACATGATGGTGTGTAGCATGAAGAAAAAAAACTGACAGCCCAACAGCCTGGTCACGTTTTTTGGGCTAGCGAGGAGCTATCCATGTGTCCAGCTTCTAGCAACTCCTCTTTCAATCCCTCCCTCGTTTCAACCCTCCCTCCTTCCTCATCCACTTCCTCAACACCACCTTCCCGATCCAGCACCACATTCGTCATCTCTATCGATCCTCCCTCCCCTGTGTCATCTCCCCCCTCCTCTCTACACTCCTCTCCACCACCCTCCACCTCTCCCTTCCCATCCTCATCACCATCCCCCCCACTCCGCGCAAAGTCATGAGGGGGAGAGCTCATATAAGCATCAAGCTCAGCACTCGACCCCTCATTGGCCGAAATGTATGTAACTTCCGTTACAGGCCGCCGCGCGAGCAGCGCAAGGGAGACAACGTATATGACGAGCACGAGGGCTATGGCAATCCCAAGGGGGATCTGGGCGGTTTGGGGCAGGTTGTCTGATACCAGGTACTCGACACAGGCTTGCACCACGAGCACGCAATTAACAAAGATAACTACAGTGCCAATGATGTATGCAGCTACAGTGACCTGGACAGAGGGAGCCGAAGGGAGGAAACAATTGGAGATGTTTTGAGTGTGCCGAGAAGGGGGGTGGGGGAAGCATGGACATGGATGCGATGGGAAAGGGAATGAGGGGAGCATGCATATGGATGTGATCAAATACCCAACACATGGCACACAGAGTTTGTACTTCGTGAAATTTACAATGATCACAGGCAGTGGTGGTATGCTCACTGTGTCACGCCTCTGCTCTCTGTGCCATGCTCTCCTCTATGTATCACGCCTCTGCTCTCTGTGCCATGCTCTGCTCTCTGTGCCATGCTCTGTTCTCTGTGCCATGCTCTGCTCACTGTGCCGTGCTCTGCTCACCGTGGGGTGGTTGGTGAAGGGACCCATCTTGACAGGGCTGCTTGTGAACTTGAGCAGAGGGATGAGCGCATACGGCAGGCCGAATGACAGGATGATCTGTGGGCGTGCACGGTGGGGAGAAAGAGGCAGATGGGAGTCAAGCACAGCAGATGGGGAGGTAGGCAGAAGAGGAGGAGGGGCAAGCAGTGGACTCAGTAGAAAACGCGGACAACGTCAGGGAGCAGCAAACATGACACAATCCACACAACATATGCCCACTGCCACTCTCCCTCGTGCCCTCTTTCCCTCTCCCCAACCCACCGAGGATGCAATGACGAGGTTGCCGGCACCCTCGGCCCCAACCACAGTTTTTGAAAAGTCTCGGACCTCCCCTTTCCCCCTCTCTCTCCCGCTCTTCCCCTCTGTCCCTCTCTATCCCTCCCCTCCCCTCCAACCCACCGAGGATGCAATGATGAGGTTGCCGGCGCCCGTAGCGCCAGCCACAATGGCAACAGCGAGCGACGGCACGATGGCAACGAGGCGTGTGAGCAGGTTGCGCAGCCACGACGCGAGGTGCAGCTCCAGAAACCCCGACATCACATACTGCCCCGCGTACGTCCCCGTGATCGTGGAACTCTGCCCTGAGGCTAACAGAGCAATGCCAAAGAGCGTGGACGCCCACGCGCCCAGCACGTCGCGCAGCAGGAAGTAGGCGTTGCTCAGGCTGATGTCGCTGCAGCTCGCCTGCACGTCCGGGGAGAGGTCCGGCGCGGAGCAGACTGCCCCGCCCACACAGATGACTGCCACGTTGATGGCGAAACTGATGATGAGCGCCGCTGCCACTTCCAATAATGAGTAGAGACACCCGTCCTGGCAGTGGCGGAGAGGTGAACGGGGGAAGAGAGTGGGGGAGGGGTGAGGAGGGAGCACACGGCGCCGCCCACGCAGATGACTGCCACGCTGATGGCGAAGCTGATTATGAGCGCCGCTGCCACTTCTAGTAACGAGTACAGGCACCCGTCCTGATGGGCATGAGAGGGGGAAGAGGGGAGAGGGGATCAGAGGGGAGGTGGAGGGGGGAAGGGGGACAGTGTGGGGTTAGACAGCTGAGTCGACTCATGGCTAGTAAGAAGGGAAGGGCGGGCAGTGGAACCGGAACTGTGGAAGGAGGCTGCAATTACATGGGAGCGGCACAGCCTACTCATCATTCTCCTTTCCTCGGCACTTGCCACCTTTCCATCCATCACCACCACACAGACCCAGCACCCACCGTAATCCCAGCACTCACCACAACCTGGAGTCATCACAACCAGCAACCACCACAATAAGCACCTCGATGCCTTGGCGCCAGCATCAGAAGCAGCAGCAAGTGCAGCGCACCTTGATGCCTTGACTGGTGCGCTGGGGCTTGCGGCTGAGCACCAGTGCGGAGTGCAGAAAGAGGTTGTGCCTGGCAGGGACAGGCGAGAGGTTGGGAGAAGTTGGAGGAAGAGGAATGGGGGGAATGGGCGGGGAATGGGGCGGAGAGATGCGTGGTTGGGAAACGAGACAAATCAAGAAGCAACACACCACATGAGTGCATGCATCCCATGCCATCACACCACATGAGTGCATGCATCCCATGTCATCACACCATCTCACACCATCACTCCGTCTCCCTCCACCAACTTACGGCATGACCAGAGCACCAATGAGCGAGATGGCGATGGCGAGCGCACCCAGATCCTGTGTGCGAGGGACGAGCATGCCCTCTAGCACCGCCATGCCATCCATTCACCCCCTCCCCCCCCCCCCCCCCCCTCCCCCCATTCATTCCTTCTTACGGCATGACCAGAGCGCCGATGAGCGAGATGGCGATGGCGAGTGCACCCAGGTCTTGTATGCGCGGGACAAACATGCCCTCTAACACAGCCATGCCATCCACTGGTGCATGCCCCATCTCAATGAAGAAGCAGCACGCTATCACCATCACCAGCAGCGCTATGAACACCTCCAGATTGCGCACCTGCATGGAGAGGAAAAGAGGGGGGGTGAGGTGAGGTGTGGAGAAGAAAGAAGGCACTGAGTCACTTCAAGAAGCAGCACGCTATCACCAGCACCAGCAGCGCTATGAACACCTCTGGATTGAGCACCTGAAGGACAGGGGGAGGGGAGGTGGAAGGGAAAAAGTGGAACTGAGTCACTTCAAAAGGCCGCACGATCATGAGAACCAGCAGCGCTACGAACACCTCTTGATTGCAAGAGCACAGAACACGAGACAGGCACATGCATAGAAACGGTTCTGGGCAGGCAGTATAAGGTTTGTGAAGGAGAGGCGCGGGTGCGGGGAAAAAGAGGAGGTTCACCCCGAATCGCTGGAGGCCGAGGAAGAGGAGCGTGCTGAAGCCCATGAACACACACACATGCACACATGCACACATGCACACATGCACACATGCACACACACATGCACGCATGCACGCATGCACACATGCACACACACATGCACACATGCACACATGCACACACGAACTCACCCCGAATCGCTGGAGGCCGAGGAAGAGGAGCGTGCTGAAGCCGGTTATAATGACCCCCGCCCACAGACGAATGCCAAACAACATGTTGAGTGCAAAGGCCATTCCTATCACTGCCATGCATGCAGATGTGCACACATGCACGCATGCACACACGCACACACACATGCACATGCACGCACACATGCGCACGCACGCACACACGCGCGCGCGCACACACACACACACACACACACACACACACAAACACACACGCACGCACACAAGGATTGCAAAGGGAAATTGAGTGCAAAGGCATGTGCAAGCCATACAGAAGCAAGCGCTCGGAAAGGAGAGGGAATGAGACCGGGAGAGGAGGAGAGATGAGGGAGAGGAGGAGAGATGAGGGAGAGGGGGGGAGATGATTGAGAGAAGGAAATACCTTCTGGGATGTCACTGGCGATGATCTCTATCTCTGCAATCACCCAGAGCGCAAGGTTGACACCTCGGGGGTACTCCGCCCTGCAATGCTGCGCCAGATGCTTGCCTGCCATCATGCATTGCCGCACAGCACCGCACCACACCACACCACAGCATGACACAGCACAGTGCAGCACAGCACGGCATGGCACAGCACAGAAAGAAGAGCCATGTACACATGGGGTGAGGTTGTATCAAGCCATGGCATAGCAGGGCATGGCATAACATGGCATGGCATAGCATGGCATGGGCGTCTCATGGCATGGGATGACATAGCCAGGCATGGAATGGCATGCAGGGTTGAAGGGCGGCAGCATTGGAAGATGTGGAACCATGCTGTGGCTCCTTGTCTCTCCCCTACTGGTGGTTTGAGAACTAACCGGTGACTATTCCGAGGTTGGCGGACAGTGACTGTATAAGGAGGCCCGCTAGCGATGCCAGCAGAAGAACCCAAAGAAGCTGAAAACGGGAAGGAAAACACAGAAAGAGACAAATTTGCATGGGATGGATGAAGTGTGCGTGGAGCTGTGCAGCATAATGCAGACATTTTCACGCGAGAATAGAGTAACAAGCTGCTGATGGCTGGTAGAAAAAAGAGCGGAGATAGAGGTGTAACCTGTAACCTACCGAGTATTGGTATGCTGCTCCTGCCTTGAGGTCACTTTCAACTGCACGAGAGAAGAATACGAGACGAGCGAAAGGGGACGGGTAGAGAGAGGGGCTCAACGCATGGAGTGAGTGTGTGTGATTGTGATGGGAAGCGGAGGAAGAGACGGTGAGAGCGACGGCGCCTGTACCGTCCCAGTTCACCAAGACTGTGGGCGCACGACGGGCAGGTGGTGTGTTCCTATCCGCATGGAAGTTCAGTGCATGCAAAAACCACGGTGTAAGCGATACTGTGAGTGAGCAATTGGCACGACCAGCAGTTCAAGCGACTCACAATTGGCCGGGTCGATGTAGGCTATGGCGACGAGGAATCCAGGGCCGACGTACGCCCAGAATTTACTCCATCCTCGCTCCTGCGATCACTCACGCATGGACACGCAGGGGTAAGCTGAATGTCAGCCACACAATAACTGCTGCAACCGACCTCATTTACCTAGTATACGATCGTTGATTTTCAACGCTCGACACCTAACTCAGAGATTTCTGATTCCGCGTTCCGATTAGGAGCGGAAAGCTTAGATCCCTAAATGAACAGTGCGCAGCATTCTCCGGCCGAGTCTCGCGCCAGGGCGGAATTACCTCGGGAACGTGCACTTGACCCTCGTCTTGATCCTTGCGGTCTGCGCCCTCGGTCGCCATGCTGCTGATCAGGCCAATGTTCTCCGTCATAAGACCACCAGTACGCCAAAATCGATCAGCGTTCGTGCCTAGACCTTCCGACCGAATGTAGAATCGATCAATAAATAATCAGCAACCGTAGATTCATTTGGATAAGAATCCACTAGCGCGTGTTGTCGTAACCCGCCAACGTAAACGCCTCCTAAGATGGTTGGCCTATGTTATGGCTAGCTTGCATTGTTCCGGGGCTGGTGAATTGGGGCGAAGCGAAGAACAGTAGCCATCAATCAAAGAGATGGCTTGAAATGGAAGCTTGGTTGGTGCATTGCACGCTCCCCACTCCCCGCTGCATTCTTGTCCAGCATCACATCGCAACTCGAGGGGGTGGGTGGGTGGGTTCTCGACACGTCGATTTACCAGATAACGGTATGAAACTGTACATAATATTTCAAAGTAGGGATGAAATGCATGGAAGTGCGCATGTTTTGAGCAAGTACCGTAGTGGTGGTTATGCATTTATGCAACCTTATTACATATCCGCACACTGCATTACACATACTACACCAGCATCGAAGCAGGAAACAGCAGTGGTGTGTTTCGATCAACATTGAAGTTGAATGCTTATTGCGGCCAATGCAGGATGTATAAACGAGAAAACTAGTTAACTTCACGCACTTATAACGACTCTGTTGCACGCTGTATTGCACAACTCAACAGCCGCTGGAGTGGTCGCCTTCTTGCAGCACTGGCTACACTGCTGCTTGCTGTTGCTTGAAGTCTTGGGTGCACACACTGGAAAACAGAACCAGAGAGAGACACATCCGGATTGAATTGTGTGCGGAACAGCTTCTCATGCATGGGAATGTGGCAATCATGAATCCAGAATCGCATGGAATGACTTTGGCACTTACTGACGCATCCAGGCACAGGCTTGCAGTTGACAAACTTCCCATGGATGCAGGAGCAGCGCTGGCAGAGGTCGCCAGTCTTGGTCATGTCGTGAGCTCCGTTCTTCACAAAAATTGGACCCCATCCTGGTCCAGCACTTACGCACTCGTTTGGACCCTCTGAGGGAAATGGAGGGAAAAGCACATCGAAGTGGACAAGGGTGAGCCGGAAAAAAGACGGTCAATCAAGAAATCAACGATGCCATACACAATCCGTGTGAGGGACCAAATAGCTTATTAGCAAAGAATGCAGACGGAATGTAAGGGGAATGGAGCTCACGAGCACTGTTGATGCAGTTGCCAATGTATGTGTCGTTGACAAACCGTGATACTTCACACCTGGTGGTTGAAGGAGAAAAAGGAAGTCAAATAATGCACAGAGAATGAAGAAAAACGTCATTAGCAAGTAGCGCATTCAGGAGTTGCCTTGAAGCAAGTCAGATGATTCTCTCTGCTGGTTAATCTCACAGCCCACGCGACTCAACTGGTTCTGTCTGGTGTCCTTGCATCGCGTGCCGTCCTTCCATCGCCCCACCGCGTCCTGCTTGCACAGCTTTCCCAGCGGACACACGCAGGTGGGGCCGGACTTGAGCTTCTGGCACGTGCAGCGCGGACAGATGGTCGAAGCCGTGATGCCGCTGGTACCCGGTGCGAACATGACGGAGCGGAACATGCAGTACTTCTGATTTATCTGATCGACTGGTTAACAACGTCAGAAACAGAAAACGGAGAAATTATCAGAAGACGAAATACTCTGCGGTGTTTTCAAGCGTTTCTTGCGGTAGAGAGGGTCGCAAGAAAAACACATTGTTGGTAATCGATGGCTTACTAGGCACGTCGGAGGCGCATTTCCCCTTGAACAAGAAATGGGGTGAGTTTTTCACCACCTTGGTCACCAAACACCTGAAACGATCAATCAATTCAGCAAACAGGCCGCGATACAGGATATAAATTCGCTCTCGTCAACAACTATGCTCGTGATGTCATGACATTCTCACAGCGGGACCCGCGTACCCGAAGTCTCGCTTGCATAAGGGCTTCATGGGGGTGTAGTTCTTGTCGTAGTAGCATGTGGATCCGTCAGGTAGGCCTGACCCAGCTCCAGTTGCACAGACAACCCATGGCCCTGCATGAAATACCAGGCATCAGGATCCATATTCAAATGTAAAATAGTATGTCGCGCAAGCGCAAGCACTTCAAAGAAAGTCCTCGCATCACCTGAAGTTGAAGCGAGGAGCAGCAGAAATGGAAGAGATGCGAGGATCTTCATTGCCGATGTCTGATCGCTTTCCGCTGCCTGCTATGATGGCCCGAGAAGCAACAGGAGGTCACTATTCCAGGTGATGTAAATTACTGTGACCGAAAGATTCAGGGCTATTGTATTTATAGCAGCATATGAAACCTTATCCAGGAGTCGCATCGGCCATGCTCATGGCAATGCCCCGCGGATAATGTCATGGAGAGGGGCGGTAGAGCAGAGGGAGTTCCGTTGGTTCAACAAATGTGCAAGGGATTCGCGAACGCGCCGCAACATCAGCATGTCAGTGCTGAAAATGTCCTCAGAAGATGTTACAAGTCCGTACCATTCATACACGCTTTTGTGCCTACTTACATTTACCGTAACCCAAACAGCTCACTGAGGTGGCACAGTAATGATGTGACCTACGGTATGTGGTGTATTTTCAGTCTGGTGGAAAAATAGGGGCTCTAAAACGCCTACGGTACCAGCAGATATGTGGAAACAGTAGAAACATGTATGATTTGTGGGGACGTGAAATCTTGGTTGAAGTGTTTGCCGCTGATGGCAATCATGACATTTGCCTTTACATCCCCTTCCATACTTATGTATCAACATCTCTGCAAGGATGGAAGCTCCATTCTTTTGTTAGAAAAATATCTTATAGCTCTTAGCTGGAGAGGATATGAGCTTACATTGTTGGTGTGCAAGAACTAAAGAAGGCTCAAGGGGAGCCAGTGATGGCATATTAAGGTCACTGTGCTGGCAAGGCAGGGCAAACTCGGTTCATCGTTCTGAAGGTTAAGCCATACTGCCTGAAGCCTGCCGATAAACCCTGTTACACGCTGTTTCACACATCTCAACACCCTCTGGTGTGGTGGCCTTCCTGCAGCACTGGCTGCATTGCTGTGCGACGTTGGTTGGGCTCTTTGGAACACACACTGCGAAAGAGCACCAATGGGGCAATACAAAGAGAAGGAATAAGAAACAAGGACTCGAGTATACTAACGAATGAGTGAATGCTACAACACATTTCCAGTCACTAACTACCCACAGACTGACATGCAACTTACTGGCACATCCGAGTACAGGCTTGCAGTTGACAAACTGTCCTTTCATGCAGGAACAGCGTTGGCATAGATCACCGGTCTTGGTAATGTTGTGAGCCCTATTCCTCACAAAAATGGGACCCCACCCTGGTCCTGCACTGATGCACTCGTTGGGGCCCTCTGACAGTGATGGAATATAAACATCCAAGGAGGGAATAAGGGGGTGGGAACGCGATGATAGAACGAAAATTTAAAAGGATGGGAGAGCACACACGTTGCAGAAACAATAAGTTGAGTAGGAGATGAACTAGACATGAACAATTGGATCTGTAAGCACGAAAGCGGTAAGGGAGAAGAACACAACGATGGAGGGGGAGGAACTGACGAGCAGGGTTGATGCAGTTGCCAACGTACGAGCCATTGACCACCCGTGATACTTCACACCTGGTGGTGCCATGACGACATGGGAGGGAGGCAAATACGTACAAGGTGTTAAAAAAATTACTCATTCCACAGCACAAAATTTATCTGTGTGCAGGAGAGTCAAGGGCATATCGTTTCCATACTCGTCCCTGGTCACACTCCCGCTTCCCCGTTTTCCCACTCCCATCCCCCACGCGACTCAACTGGTTCTGTCTGGAGTCTCGGCATCGCGTGCCGTCCTTCCATCGCCCCACCGCGTCCTGCTTGCACTGCTTGCCCAGCGGACACAAGCACGTGGGGCCGCCCTTGAGCTGCCGGCACGTGCAGTGCGGACACATGGATGTCGCCGTGATGCCGCTCGTCCCCGGCGCGAACATCACGGAGCGAAACATGCAGAACCGTTTGGTGATTTGGTCCACTGAAAGGGAGGTGGAGAGCGGCGGCGGGGAGGGGCAAAGGATTGTTGAGAAAACGTGACATTGCAATGATATTCGCAGTCAGTGCGGAGGCAGGTGGAAGAGAAAGAGTTTGGAAACTTACGAGGAACGTCAGAGGCGCATTCGCCCTTGAACTTGAAATGCGGTGAGTTGCGAACCACCTTGGTCACCACACACCTGAAAAAAAGGGGAAAGTCACGCACACGGAAGGCATGTAGCGAACGGATTTGAGCTGCGCTTGCATGGTGGTGAACCACTCCCTATATTAATCGCATCTTTCATGGCGGATCGCTAGAATAGGGTATTATAGGACTGCTGCCATTTCAGGTTTCAAGAAAGACGCGATTCTCAGCGTACCCGAATTCTCTCTTGCAGTAGGGCTTGATGGGGGTGTAGTTATTGTCGTAGTAGCATGTGGCTCCGTCAGGTAGGCCCGACTTTTTGTCACCGGCGACGGCTAACCACGGCCCTGAACGAACGATAGCGGAGCGAAAGAAGCTCGTGGGCAAGGCTGAATACAGAACGTATTCCGAGCGTCCGCGTGTTCATTACAACGAAAACGCGAACTGGAAAATGAATATTTATCATAGGTGAACAAATGACGAAGCTATGAGAGTAGCACCTGAATTCAACGAGAGCAGAAGCAGCAAGGTAAGCGATGCGCGGAGCTTCATTCCTGCGAGTATCGTTCGTTCCACGACGTCCTGTGCTCACTATGCTTCGTGAAACCCCTGCGATTGAGAATCTGACAGAGAATTTTGGAGTCTACGAATCTCAGTATAACTGAGCCAGAGCGAGAAATTCTTGCGTAATAAAGCTTTTATCCTTGTTAGTGTTAAGGTCGTGCAGTAGCAGCGCCTTTACACTCACTCCAGCTAACAGCGATTGCAACGAGGTGGATGCATCGCTGGCAAGGAAGGTGCAACGGAGCAACCTCAATAACCTTGAGGTAGTAACAGCTCGAAGAAAGCTTATGACGTTGGAGCTTCCTGCAACTAGTAGCTTATGAGGTGTTGCTTTCAGATTCTCAATCACGCCGATTCAGGCTTTCAAATTCACAAGAAATCTGCTCAAATTCAAATGCTTTCAACCTGAGCAAAATTTACTCTTAGAGAGCAGTCCAACTAGCCGAGCTGTGCGAAGCATCTCAAATTCGCCAACGAGCCGCAAGCACTGCAACTCCATGCAGAAAGTGTGCGTGACTCTGTGATGGCGACAGCATGTGCGACCTTGGGCATGCGGGAGGGAAAACCATGTGCGACATAGGATGGGCATGTGGATGGGAGGGAATTCCCGAAAACCAGAAATTTGATGCATCCTCTGCTTTCGCTGCAGGTCCTAGTCGTGTCGCAGCACGAGCCGCTTGGTGAAATGAAATCTCCTTTCACAATCGATTCCATCCCATAGCCTTCACCGTTGGATTCCGTTACTGCAAGGGATGTTTTTTCACGTACCCTTTAGACAGTGAAATCATATGTTCTTTTATGCGGGTCGTGATTCTTTGCTCACTACGAAGCAACACAGAATCCCATTGCAGTAATTCTTAGGGAGGGACTGAAGTCAGTTTGATGCAACTTTTGCCAGCACTGTTAATCAATAAAAGCATTGTAAAGCTACAAGAGATTCATTTAGCCTATACTATTGCCTCCACAGCTGCAGCCACATCCGCAATGCTCTTAAACTGGTGCCTTTCCTTGACGAGGTGCTTGCCGAAGTTGAGAGCCCTGCGCTCGCAAGCTGCCCTCACATCAGGGTCGGCAATGGACTCCAGATCCTCCACATGCGCGATGCCAACAATGCGCCTGCAAGAGTAGACACACCACGGACGGCACAACCCGCAAAGTCAGGACTTCCATTCCCTCGCAGATCTTGGTGGACGGCGAAACAGGACACCTGAAATCCTGGTAACATACGGCAAAGCACCCACTACCAGCTCCTGCGCTCATCCAATCGACCAGCTATCACCCGAACCTGCACCAGCTCACCCAAGCCTCTACCAGCTCCCACCCAACCCTGCAGCAGCGCTCACCTGATCATCTTGGCCCCGGCGAATCCCAGCGAGTCCAGGAAGACCTCGCGCAGGAAGGCGGTCTGGGCGGCGGAGAGCAGCGCAGCATTGTCGTGGTACAGTGCCTGCGGGTACGCGTCTCCCTTGGCCAGTGCCTTGTCGTTCCACAGCGCCAGGAACTTGGCCTCAAACTTCTGCCACGTCTCCGTGACGCACTGCAGGAGCCACTTCTTGGCCGCCTGGGCGAGGGATGGGGAGAGGGATGGGGGGAGGATGGTGAAGGATGGTGAAGGAGAGCGACTGATGGCAAGGTCGGTCCATTTAGCACACTCATACAAACAGGACAGTCCACAGAGAACACTCACAGCACGGGAGTCATCAGCGGTGGCGTGGCCGTCCTGACTGAAGTAGGCCAGCAGCAGGTTGCCCAGGAAGGCCCCGATGTCAAAGCCCATCGGACCGTAGAACGCAAATTCCGGGTCGATCACGACCGTTGATTCCTCCGTGACCATGACTGAGCCTGTGTGCAGATCCGCATGCAGCAGCGCCTGTGCGCGCTCACAGAACCTGCAAGAGGGAGGAGCGGGGAGGGGATGCACAAGAGCGCAGGCAAAGCAAGCGTGAAATAGGATGCATGAGGGTGGCCCACAATGACAAGTGGAGATAAAGGATGAACCTGAGCCGCCTGAGCCACTTGAGCCACCTGAGCCACCTGAGCCACCACTGAAAATTAACCACAAAATGGTTGGAATGCATGGTGGTGGATTGTGGAACACACCACAAGCACCAGGCGCATCAATACACCACTTGCCCTTGAGCTCCGAAATGGCGAGCTTGCGGGGCACGTCCTCACTCACTCAGCCGTGACAGGCGTGGTGGTGAAACACAGAGAGAGCAATGAGCAACCAGAGGGGGAGCAGAACACCAAGGAAGAAGGGCCGCACTCACTTGCTCTTGAGCTCGGTGATGGCGAGCTTCAGCGGCACATCCTCCCTCAACGCCGCTGCATCTGCGTCGAGCTGGGGGGTGGTCCAGCGGTTGTTGGTGGCGAGCACGTAGGGCTCAGTGAAGATCACCTGCTCCGTCAGCCGACACATCTCCACGTTGCCACAGAACTCCCGCACTGCGGGGCAACAGGGAGCGGAGGAATGGCACGGCAGAGCGTTGGGACGGCAAGGGCTGGGAACCTCGTTTCACTGTGCTGAGTTCAATGGCCCCGCATTTGAATATACTGAGCAAAAGCCATATCTCATTAACTGCCAGCAACCATTGAAAACGGCGCACCTTTGTCGCGGTAGACCTCGGTGTTGATGGCGATGAGTGACGACAGGAACAGCGTGCTGGCGAGGAACGACGACATGTGCTCCGCCAGCCGCGGGTACACGCGCCCCTGCACCAGCCCCTTCCGCAGCACAATCGCGGGCGGCGCCACATACCGCATCACCAGCAGCGCCATCGGGTGACTAAAGAAATACACCTCAGGCACCAGCTCAGGCACCCATGCAAACTGCTGCCGCAGCGCCAGCGCCTCGTAGTAAATCCTATCTAGAGTCATGGGCCAGGATTCCCCCACCACTCGCACGTACGGCAGCGCCTGCTTCACCACTAAGGCCCCTCCCGGCCCTTCGACAATATACACGAAGTTGATGTTCCCGTCCCCCACCTCCCGCACGGACCACTCCGCCGGGCCGCCGCCGAGCCTGGCGGCGAGGTCCGGGTGGTCCTGGAGGAAGGCAGGCACGGTGTGCTCGCTGACGGGCGTGAAGCGGGAGGCTTCCAGAGCGTCTTTGCGGATGCGGTCCTTGTGCGGGTCCGTGTGCGGGTGCGCATCGTCCTCCTTGGTGTGAGGGTTGTTGGCGGGCGGTGGGTACATGGGTGAGGAGGGCACGGGGGCGCCGAGGGAGTGGAGGAACCCGCGGATGTCAAAGACTGATGCGCCTTCTTTCTTCCAGATGACGCCCTGCAGGGATGATGGGGCAGAGGGGCGTGTGGGATGGGGGCATAGGATGAGAAGGCGCCGAGCTGTCAGAAGTAGACAGGTGGGCTGCAAAGGCCTTATTTCCATCAACTCTCGCTGATGTCAAAGACTGATGCGCCCTCCTTCCAGATGACGCCCTGCAGGGAGGGTAGGGTGTGTGGGAAGGTTGCCCAAGGACATATGCGAGGGAAAGGGGTGAGCAAGAAGTTAGGGATCATGCCTCGCATGCCTCACATGCCTCACATGCCTCACATGCCTCACACACACATGCCATAATAAAAACCTCCCACCCACCCTGTCAGTAATGAGGCCTGTGATGAACTGCGCTGGTGTGATGTCAAACGCCGGGTTCCACACATCGATGCCGTGAGGCGCCACCTGCCATGTGAGTCAACCAGGTACATGGAAACAGCAGTGCGTGGGTAGAGCAGCACATGGGTAGAGCAGCACATGGGCAGAGCAAAGACACAGCAACATTGAGTAGATCCAGGTAGAAAATGCCAAGAACCGCAATAGTAAAATGCACTGCACCCTCAGATGTGTTGGCGCACCTGCGGGCCGGCGCCTCCCAGCGAGTGCGTGAGCTCAGCAGAGTGCCGCTCCTCCACCACGATCTCCTCCCCCGTCTTGATCGCCGCATCGATGGACGTGAGTGGCGCCGCCACGAAGAAGGGCGTCTTGTGGTGGAAGGCCGATAGAGCCAGGGAGTACGTGCCGATCTTGTTTGCCGTGTCGCCTAGAGGTTGAGTGGAGAGGTGGGGTTCGAGAGATGGGGGTAGAGAGGGGGTCAGCGGCGCAGACACAAAGAAGGGCGTCTTGTGGTGCCTGCCAGGTGACAGAGGTGGAAAAATGAGACGGATGGAGCAACAGCAGGCAGAAGGCAGCAAACAACAGTGAACACACCGTTTGCAGCAATCCGATCGGCGCCCACAACAACAGCGTCGATGCGGCCAGCAGCCTTGAGCGAGGCGGCAGCAGAGTCAGCAATGAGCAGCGCGGGGATGCCGTCGTGAGTCAGCTCAAACGCCGTCAGCCGCGAGCCCTGGTTGTAGGGACGTGTCTCTGTGCACACTGCTGTTTCCAGCAGACCCTGGGCGTGAAGGGAGCGGATGACGCCCAAGGCTGTGCCGTAGGCCGCTGTTGCAAGGCTGTGAGAGGGAGGGAAACAGGGAGAAGACAGGGTAACGAATGTCATCCGTGCACAATGCCGTTTCCAGCAGGCCCTGCACGTGCAGCGGGCGGATCACTCCCAGGGCAGTGCCGTAGGCTGCAGTGGCCAGGCTGTCGTGTGAGGGAACAGGAAACGGGGCAAGAAAAAGCATGTGAGGCGCTAGCCCTGGTTGTAGGGACGCGTCTCCGTGCACACAGTTGTTTCCAGCGCATGTAGGGAACGATCCACTCCCAGTGCTGTGCCATAGGTAGGCTGCAGACTGCAGTGGCCAGGCTGCGAGAGTGGTAAGGGAAGGCGTGGGAGTGAGAGCGGGAAATGCATGTGAGGTGAGAGCCCTGGGCGTGGAGGAAGCGAATGACGCCTAGAGCCGTGTCGTGGGCCGCTGTGGCAAGGAAGTGAGGGTGGGAAGGAAAGGAGATGTGAGGGGCGAGCCCTGGTTGTATGGGCGCGTCCACCATTGTTTCCAACTGGCCCTGCACGTGGAGGGAGGTCATCACTCCAGCACTGTCCATAGCCAGCAGTGGCGTGGCTGTGCGGGCAAGAATGGGGTCGGGATGGGGATGGTTCAGGATGGGGATGGTTCAGGATGGGGATGGTTCTGGATGGGGATGGTTCAGGATGGGGATGGGAACGGGAAGAGAATAAGCAAAGCAGTGTACACACCACCACTAGGTATGGGGTGAGGGGTCGCATTGTATGCAATAACCCTCACCTGCCAGTGTTGCAGTGGGTGAGCACCCGTAGGTTCTTCCCCTCAACGCCCTTCTGCCTCAGCGCCTCCACCACGGCCTGAGCGCCAAACGCCCCGATGCGCTTGTTGCCCGCCACGTCATCACTCAGCATCGCCTCCGCTGCCAGCACTGTTGCCTGAGAGGGGGGGGGCGAGGGTGGTTAACAGATGGCAGTGATGGGGTGCGAAGACGTGAGAACAAAGAGAAGAGCCACGTCATCACTCAGCATCGCCTCCGCTGCCAGCACTGTTGCCTGTGGTGGGGGGTGGTGGGCCCGGGGGGTTGGTTGGCCCAGAGGGGTGGTTGGCAGACGGCAGGGAGATGAAGGGTGAGGTCAAAGCGGAGAGCCACGTCATCACTCAGCATCGCCTCCGCTGCCAGCGATCGCCTGGTGGGGAGGGGAGGAAAGGGGAGGCGCATGGGAGGAAGTCGAAGGAGGGGGGGAGAGTGAAAACAAAGCGGATAGCCACATCATCACTCAGCATCGCCTTTGCCACCCGCACCGTTACCATTACACCGTTACCATTACCACCACTGCACCGTTACCATTACCACCACACTACACCATTACCATTACCACCACACTACACCGTTACCATTACCACCACACTACACCGTTACCATTACCACCACACTACACCGTTACCATTACCACCACACTACACCGTTACCATTACCACCACACTACACCGTTACCATTACCACCACACTACACCGTTACCATTACCACCACTACACCGTTACCATTACCACCACACTACACCGTTACCATTACCACCACACTACACCGTTACCATTACCACCACACTACACCGTTACCATTAACACCACACTACACCGTTACCATTACCACCACACTACACCGTTACCATTACCACCACTACACCGTTACCATTACCACCACTACACCATTACCATTACCACCACACTACACCGTTACCATTACCACCACACTACACTGTTACCATTACCACCACACTACACCGTTACCATTACCACCACTGCACCGTTACCATTACCACCACACTACACCGTTACCATTACCACCACACTACACCGTTACCATTACCACCACACTACACCGTTACCATTACCACCACACTACACCGTTACCATTACCACCACACTACACTGTTACCATTACCACCACACTACACCGTTACCATTACCACCACACTACACCGTTACCATTACCACCACACTACACCGTTACCATTACCACCACACTACACCGTTACCATTACCACCAATGCACCGTTACCATTACCACCACTACCACCAGCACTACCTGAGCTCACCAGCACTACCTCGGCTCACCAGTACAACCGCCTCGGGCGTGGGTTCCTCCTTGGCTGCCTCCTCCGCCACCCTCTTGAGCTTCTCTGCCGCGTCTGATAGGTTCACTGCCGTGGGGCGACTGGGAGGGGACAAGGGGGGAGAGAGAAGAGTGTGTGAGAGAGAGACCAAGGGGAACACGTGAGCGCATATGGTCCTGTTTGATCTTCTCTGCCGCGTCTGATAGGTTCACTGCCGTGGGGCGGCTGGAATGGGGGGCGGAGGGAGGGAGAGGGGGAGTGAGGGGAGTGAGGGAAAGTTGTTGGAAGTGTGGGGGACGGGATTGCCCCCCACGCGAAAGACCTCCCTTGACTCGGACCAAGGGAGGGTTCGTTCTTGGAAGGTTGGGGTGACGGCGGATTGTCCGCGTCGCCACGCAACCGAACTTCCCCCGGTTGGGTCCGAATATTTGTGGGGGCGACACTTGGCAGCCCCACAAGCATGCACGAAAATAGCAAGAGCGCAAGCGAATGTTACGAACATTTCGCTACACTCGCTATTGTTCCTTGTAACACACGATTGTCGGCGTGAAAAAACGAACCCGGCAAAGTCCGAAATTGTGAACGCGGACGTCGCGGAAATTGGACGCGATCCTGAGTCCGAATTTCCGGCGAGTCGCGCGCGGTTCGATGTTACAATTGTGCTTGCATGTTTTAGCTATAAAACCAGAGAGCAAATTCCATAGAGTTAACTTCAACTCGTCACTTGTACCCATCCTTGCATTATAAGAAATATCTCTTTCAATTCTCAGGCGATTACAGAGATTCAAAGTGCCACTGATTCCTTGCTCCGAGCCTGTCGGAACGATCCTAGTCTTGGCTCCTAACTCGCCAAGTAGAATCTGTGGCGTCACTAGGAGTGAGACGGTTTCCTTCAAAAGTGAGGCGCTGCCAGGGCCTTTTCAGATGCCAATGGTCAAACACACAAGCGCACCTGGACACGAGGTAGTCAAGGCGGTTGGTGATGTGCTTCACGGCAGCATCCTGTGCCGGTGCACCTCCACTGCCAGCGCCAGCGCCAGCGCTCTGTGATCGACATACCTGGAATGGATATGCGCTGCGCACCTGGACACGAGGTAGTCAAGGCGGTCGGTGATGTGCTTCACAGCGGCATCCGCGGACTCGAACACGCTGTGCTGGTGCACCTCCACTGCCAGCGCCAGCGCTGCTGCGATGGCGATCGCCGGCGCTCCCCTCACCACCATGTCCTTGATGGCGTGCCTGAGGGTTGTGATGGGTGCGGTGCGGTGGAGTGCGGTGCAAGGCAATTCACAGGAGGAGGCATTAACTGGCATGTTCGTGGTCGCATTTCCGGCGTTTCGTGATGCATGGGGTTCCAAACACAGAGCATGATGAGATGACAATGAGAATCGCGAACCCACCAGGCAGCTTCGGTGGTTGGGATGTCGAGGTAGATAGACTCGTGAGGAAGCTTCCGCTGAAATGAAGGCAACACGCGCGGCGGGGCGTAAAATGGAAGGGGGAAAGAAGAAGCAGCGCCTCAGTCTGGTTAAACGCGCGCCTTCATAACATCGGAGCCGTAATGATTCTTATCCTTTACGTACGACGCACCCTTTACAAGAAGGGTGCGACAGTTTCGTGCGCAGAATTTTCACAATATCGCTATTTTTTATACCGAGAATTTAACTGAAAGCTCCGCTGAAACATTCTGAGGATTTATGAGAGCTGAAAACACAACTCGCCTGGTCCAGAAGCTCGAGCTTCCCTCGGGAATACCGAATGGCCTGAAGCACCTTCGACTCGCCCGACGCGCCCACATTCTCCGCCGTCACCGTCAGATCTGCAACCGCTGCCGCCATTGCTGCCGTCGGATTCGATAGTTTCCAACGACGAAATTCAAAGAACGGATTTGTCGAAACTACCGGCGAGGTGTGAAGGGATTGTCAGGTCTGCGAAGTACCGGGAGAGGCGCTAGATGCGGAGGCGGCGGCGAAGCTGGTCGGGGGTTGGATTGGAATACAAATGGATGGCCGAAGCTGAAGGAGAAATCCTTAGTGGCAGCTTTCTGACCTCCGAGCTGGTAACAATTGAAAATTGACGATTCGAAATAGTTCGCAACACCCAGGACATCCCGAGGCATAGCGACAGTCGCCATTGCCTAGGTTATGTTCGCTGAATGGTTTGCCATTGCCGTGGCCTGAATAACAAGCAGAGAATCGAGACACTGAAACCCCCGTTTTAGTCAGAACACAGCACAGCATACAGCACAGCACACAGCATACTGCACACAGCACAGCACACCACAATGCTTTACCTCGTTACTCCTCTTCACATCATCACCTCCCCATCATGTCGTTTCTCCGAATCGCGATAGTTCCTGGTCAAATTGTTACCACCATTATCCGCAGGCATCAGATATAAATCTTCACCACATGGTCGCTTTCCTTCGGGTTTTGGCCGTTCATTTTTTCCTCCCTGTAACTCTTTCTCACCGCCGTTTCTGCGTTACCTCCGCATCATCACCGCGATGTCGTTGGGTCAGCCGAAAGGAGCAATCGATGGACACATGAAGTCTTCGGATGATGAAATCTCTCTACTTTCGATCGCGATACGAGTCGCTATGGATCGTAGTTAGCCAGTAGCAACACTTCGCATTGCTTCAAATTCTCTGTCGCGATACGAGTCGCTATGGATGCGACGCGCATGCGCGCAGTGCGCCGCGCATGGCCGCATTAGAGAAGAGGATAAGGTAGCCATCTAATTGGTTCAGCATGCTGCTTCATCATGCTGTAGGTATGCTGATCATTGCAGTCAGCATGCTTCAATGTGCGACATCATGCTTCAATGTGCGACATCATGCTTCAATGTGCGACATCATGGTATGCTGACCGTTGCTGTCAGTCAGCATGTACGCACAAACTGCCATCATTCTTAGTGCACTCTCCTGTCGTTGCTCTGCGCGTTGCTTGCTGCCCTTTTGGGCCGTCCTGCGTTGCCCTTGCCTTGGCGAAGGATTCGCGCGCTGGCAAGGGGGAAGGGGATGGGGAATGGATTCGCGCGCTGGCAAGGGGGAAGGGGATGGGGAATGGATTCGCACGCTGGCAAGGGGGAAGGGGATGGGGAATGGATTCGCAGTGCTAAATGCTCTCTCCAGTATGCCCTCTCCTGCCGCTTGCGTCTTGCCCCATGCACAGCAGGGTCATCAGCACGCAAGCCTGCACAGTTGTTGTACCAGCGTCACTTGCTGCGCGACCAGTGCAATGCCAGTGCCCCTTAGTGCGCACTGCAGAGATTCACAATGCAAGGTAGCGTCACTTCACTCTAATTCACGGTCTTGCTCAAATTCACAGTCTTGCTCTCTTTGATCAACAGACTCCTGAAAAGCTAATGGTAGCGTCACGTGCTCGAATTCACGTTCTCGCTGATTATCAACTTCACGTTAATGGTTCCTTCACCATTTGTTGCCATGGGTTGTTACCCCCCCCCACCATCCATTACCTTTTGGTGTTAACCCCCCCCCATGTCACATAGGAATCGCCATCTTGTTATCTTGGCATCGGCATCACCATCCCATTCATTATCATGTGATGTTGCCTCTGTTTGGCAGTGGTGATGTTGCCTCTGCATGGCAAAGGTGGTGTAGCCTCTGCATGGCAAAGGTGGTGTAGCCTCTGCATGGCAAAGGTGGTATTATCACCACTGTACCTCCCAGCACACACACGTGTCAACACGTGCGCTCAGCATGTGGACAGGACATGGGCGGCATGTGGGCGGCATGTGGGCAGTGTGGGTGCTGGATAATCAATGGATGTACACAGCACAGCACAGCACAGCACCGCACAGCACAGCACAGCACAGCACAGCACAGCACACACCACAGCACAGCGCAGCACAGCACAGCACAGCACACAGCACAGCACAGCACAGCACAGCACAGCACAGCACAGCACAGCACAGCACAGCACAGCACAGCACAGCACAGCACAGCACAGCACAGCACAGCACAGCACAGCACAGCACAGCACAGCACAGCACAGCACACAGCACAGCACAGCACAGCACACAGCACAGCACAGCACAGCACAGCACACAGCACAGCACAGCACAGCACACAGCACAGCACAGCACAGCACAGCACAGCACAGCACAGCACAGCACAGCACAGCACAGCACAGCACAGCACAGCACAGCACAGCACAGCACAGCACAGCACAGCACAGCACACAGCACAGCACAGCACAGCACAGCACAGCACAGCACAGCACAGCACAGCACAGCACAGCACAGCACAGCACAGCACAGAACAGCACAGCACAGCACAGCACAGCACAGCACAGCACAGCACAGCACAGCACAGCACAGCACAGCACAGCACAGCACAGCACAGCACAGCACAGCACAGCACAGCACACAGCACAGCACAGCACAGCACAGCACAGCACAGCACAGCACAGCACAGCACAGCACAGCACAGCACAGCACAGCACCGCACCGCACAGCACAGCACAGCACAGCACAGCACAGCACAGCACAGCACAGCACAGCACACAGCACAGCACAGCACACAGCACAGCACAGCACACAGCACACAGCACACAGCACAGCACAGCACACAGCACAGTATGCAGAACAGGACAGCACAGCATATAGCACAATACGCGGAACAGCACACAGGCCGCACAGCACACAGCACAGCACAGCAACAAAACACTTCCTTCACAACTGAGCATGCTCTCGCACCTTGCTCCCATGAGCCTCTCCCTGTATGACTTTCCGTGAGTCGTTCTGTTGGTGATGCCTTTGCAGCAATAGCATCGCCAGAAGCTGGGTCATGTGCTTCTGCTCGCCCAGCAAGTCTGAAGGCGGGATCAATCTTGGTAGCGTCAGCGCAGCAGCATCAGAGAGGCCACAGTTTATGTGCTCCTCTGATCTACTGCACAAGGACCTCGGTGCATGTTAATCTACATCAAGTTCTCTGTTGAATGGTAAACTAGATGAAGCTCTCTGTTGCATGTTACACCTCTGTTGCATGTTAAGCATCTGCTGCATTGCATGTTAGCCCTCTGATACAGGTTAGCCTCTGTCAAGTGCATTGTTGCACGTTAAACAGTGATCTGGTGCATGGCACCGGTACCTGTATCAATTCACTGTTATGCTAGCATCTGAATCCTATGTCAAGTGCATTGTCTGTGCTGGTTACCATATGTTATTTGTGTTACATTAGTTTCTATAAGATGCGTGAATCTACCCTTAATCAAGCAATTAAAAAGATACGGTGCACTATGTTTTTTATTATCTGGATGGAAGGTATCATTCGATACACGGGAGGACCAGCAGACTCGTGCCTCTAAACTGAGCAATATCAATCAGCAGATATAGAGAATATTGATCCACAATTATCGATTGAAGAGTTTTGTCTAACTTGTCAATGCAAAGATTTGCATCAAGGCAAGATAGAAAAAGAGAAGTGATTGATCAACACAACACATCACATACCGTATATTGATATTGGTCTTCGTGTATGTAGATGATTAATCATTTGGTTCATGCTGGTATTCTATGATGCTTTATTTCTAAGGTAGTGCAGTGAAAATGTTTCATAATGTATGACATATTTCCTCAAAATCCGCACGCGACTCGTTTGACGGAAAACAATAATAGTGAGACTTTAGCCGGGGAGCCGCGAGCCCAAAACTCCCCTCGGCCGCCTGTCGCACAGATCCGTGAACCTTTGCCTTGGATTTGTGTCAGGCGGTTCCCCGAGGTGTCGCCGCCTGGCAATTTCAAAATGCTGAACCTGTTTACCCGCCAAATCGAAACACTTTCTGGTTGTGATTTCAAACCTGTTCACCGCTTGACTTGGTTGAGGCAATCTGGTCTGGTAGAAACCAGATGGTGCAATCTGGTCTGGTAGAGTGATTTCCGACTCTACCTCTGCTGCAGCTCTCCCCTCCCTGCTCATTTGCTCTCCTTCCCTGCCTCTTAGCTCACTACCCTCGCAGCCTTGGCTTCCGCGAATCCCTAGCGAATGCAGCTCTTTGCGCTGACAGTGTTACAGTGCTTGATAGAACACAGAACGATGGTGCCAGAATGACCCCGTTATTATACTCAGTTCCACGTCGCTCGGATTAGCTGGTAAAACCATGAGTGTTGAAACGGCTGCCGTTTATTAACCTTTCACGAAATCTCCAGTACTCATCAGGTGGTTCCTGTATCCTGCCACACTTCAGTAGCTGTAGTGGAAGTTGCGATCATCCACCAACTGGCGACGGCTACCGGTGCTGCACGTTTCGTGAATATGTCGAGTAGCTCTCTGGCGAGCAGGTCAGAACGGGCTATTTGTACGTACATCAGAAAGTTGCGCCAGTAGCCATCGTATGTAGTCGCGGTGGAAGCAGCGAATCGCTGAGCGCTAACACGTTTGACGTTAACGGTAACGCATAGGTGAAAGAAACCGGCCTGCTCCTAGTGACGCCACAGAATGCACTTGGCGAGTTAGGAGCCAAGACTAGGATCTTTCCGACGGGCTCGGAGCAAGGAATCCGTGGCACTTTGAATCTCTGCCTGCGAATTGAAAGAGATATTGCTTATAATGCAGGAATGGGTACAAGTGACGAGTTGAAGTTAACTCTCTGGAATTTGCTCTCTGGTTTTATAGCTAAAACATGCAAGCACAATTGTAACATCGAACCGCGCTCGACTCGCCGGAAATTCGGACTCAGGATCGCGTCCAATTTCCGGGACAATTTCAGACTTTGCCGGGTTCGTTTTTTCACGCCGACAATCGTGTGTTACAAGGAACAATAGCAAGTGTAGCGAAATGTTCGTAACATTCGCTTGCACTCTTGCTATTTTCGTG